TTCTGGTTTCAGGTCTGCACTGAAGCTCTGCTGAGTTTGCCTCTCCAATCTGGTTCTCCCTGTGGTCTTATTGCAGGATTCTAGTGTGTGTGAGGGAGCTTGGCCAAAAGGCCTGACACCAAACACACTGTCCTTTACTTAAAAAATGAGGAAACATGATGAATATTTACTATAAAGTACCAGCATTTCTTATGTACTAAAAACAACCAGTGGACCTGTGGTACTTCTGTAATCTAATTTTAACTAATTTTTATTTCTATAATTCGTCATGGAATGGGATGCAGGCAGCTCTCAGTTCTGAGGAACAGTCCAACAGTCCAGACTTTAATCTATGAGAAGTTGCTCTCTCTGGGACTGCATAACTGGATCACTTAGAAGGATTAGAAAGCTCAGCCCAGCCCTTCTCACACCTGTGAGTGCTGTGCTGGTTGTTAGGTGTGTGTGCCAGGTGTCGTGGAGCAGGGACAATGCTGTGATGTCCTGGTACTGGTGGCAGGTAACTGGAGACAGCTGGGCAGGGGGTCATTGCAGAAGGGATGAGTGAGGTCTCTTAAAGGTTTTTGGAATGTTTAGGCTCCTTAATGCTTTTCAACAGTTGTATGGGAGAGGTAGATGTTGTATTAGCTGGCAATTGATGGAGAAGCAAAGATACACAGAGGGTAGGGAGCTTGTAGCTTGTAGTGCAGATCTGGGAGTAGAATCTCAATCCCCTGACTCCAGTGCTGGACAAGTGGCATTACAACTCAGCAAGGGGCTGCTGGGGACAGTGATGTGTTTTCTCTCTTGATGTTCCCAGGAGCTGCATTTTTACAAGGTTGAGAACGATGTGGCCCAGATTATTCTGAATGCAACCAATACCAGCTGCAGGCTGACAGTTCACCAAAAAACACTCTCTGAGGTGGACAAGGAAATAAAAAATGTGAATGAACAGATCACCTGCCAGGAAAATGAGATTGCAAAGTCCAGGATCCTGGCTGAGAAGAAGGGAGGGATCCTCTGCCTGTACAACAAGAAGCTGGAGATGGTTCTTTCTCAGCAGGGGGTAGGTACTTTTGTGTTTCAGTCCCAATTTTGATTTTATTCTTTGTGGTGGCCCCAGATGTCCCTGATCAATGTAAGTGTGTTAAGTGTTGGGTAGTTCAAACATTCAGACATCAGCACTGTGATTTAAAAGCTGCATTGGTTAATGCAGGTGTTTCTGTTTATCAGTTCAAAATGCAGTGAAGGGAATTGTGAAATGAGGGTGTGCCTGGCACAGATCCCTCAGGGACTTGCCTGCCCCTGATGAAAATGTCAGATGGCATCAATGAGTAAATAGGATCTTGTTAGGAAAATCTGCAAGCACTGAGGAGGGGAGAATGGGGCAGGCAGTGGGATCTCAGTCATTTCAGGATTGGCCCTATTGGGGTGACTCCCAGATCTGTCCCTGGCAGGGTAAGACCTTATGGATACCCATGGGGAAATGAGTCCTATGGCACATCCTCTGTAAGCTTTGGAATGTCCAGATGCTGCAAAAAACTCAGGCAGCTTCTGCCTGATTTAGCCCAAACTTTGCTCTCGTACAGGGGCAAGAACTGGGACCTCTGGAAATTGAGATCAACAAGCTGAACAAGCAGATAGAAGATTGCAGCTCTGAGGCAATGACGTTGCAGAAGTACTGGCTCAGTGAGCAGAAGGAGCTGGTGAGGCTGACCCGGGAGAGGGAGGAACAAATCTCCTCCCTGGACACGCTGCAGAAGCAGATCATCATCATGCAGCAGAGGAAACTGCGCCTTGAGAGTGCGTCATTCCCAAAGTCCTGCTCTTCCTTAAAATGTCCATCTGGGAGGGGGGGAACAGGGAGGGGAGGGTTGCACATGGGAAAAGCTGGACCTGCCCCAGAGAGTGCTCCTGGCTGTGTGAGCAGGAATAGCAACAGCCCAGGAACTCCTGCTGGTTGCACCTGGTTATTCCCGTAAGGATTGATCCTGCTGTCCTGACAGTCAGACCCTAAGTGACAATGTCACCTGTTACACTTGCTAAATAAAGTTTGCAAGTAGTGGGTAGGTAAATGTCCCCAGCAATGACTGCACTTTCCTTGGCCAAACCCAACTTTTTCCCACAGGAGTCTCCTTCAAAAACTTTTTTTGGTTTTTGAGCTTGTGGAAATTCATTTTGGCTGGACTGGTGGGACATGGGTGGCTGTGCCTGAGGTGTTGCCAGCTCTGATAGCCATTTGTCACACCTTGTCTCTGTTCAACCCAGTGCTCAGGGGAATTCTAAGACTTTTTCTGTTCACCCATAGATGAAATTCAGCAGGAAATAAAAGAGCAGAAGGACGTGGAACGGCACATAAAGAACATGTCAAATGATTTGATAAAGTTGAACACGTTGATCAACAAGAACAACAGCAGCGTTGAGGACCTGAAAAATGGCAGAATTGTCACAGAGAGCGAGTTTGTGCAGTCTCTCAAGGTACTGAGGCACCTGGCACCTCATTCCCAGGTCTCAGCCTCCTGTGCATATCCGAGGCAAACAGTGATCCTGGAAAACCTTCTCAGCCTGACAACTCTGTATTGTTTTGTTCTTCCCAAATCTAGGCAGCAGAAAAAGAATCCATGGAGATGCAGGAGAAGCACAGTAAACTGACTGAGGAGAAGGAAAGGCTCCTGAACAGCCTGGTAGAAGCAGAGTAGGTACCAGTCACCAAATCTGGCACCAGCAAGTGTGCTTCTAGCCTTCCTGGAGAAGGGGATGAATGTTTGAAAGGTGTTTCAGCAGTCTCTGGAACCAGCAGGGAGGATGTTGGCTTTAACAGTTCCAGTGTGTGTAAGCTGGACATTGCCAAGATCCGTATGGGAAGACTCTGCCAGTAACTGGCAGTGAGTGTGCCACTGGGCAGGTCACTGAGGGTCTAACTTTCTCCTTCCTTCCCCTTTCTCCTCTGAAGGCATCAGATCCTGCTGTGGGAGAAGAAGTTCCAGCTGGCAAAAGAGATGAGGGAAGCAACAGATGCTCTGTTAGAACACGGCGAGATCCATGACATGAAAACAGAGATTCGGAGGATGCAAGTAAGGCACTGGGAAGGAGGGCTGAGGAGGGAAAGGCACCCAGTGTACTCAGCCTTGGAGTGGCTGAAACATGAGGCAGGAGATGAGAAACAGGCTGGAGAAGTGGCATCTTCAGGGCCCGGGGTGGGACTCTAAACCCCTGCAGCTCGACTGAACTGAGCACATGCAGCCCACACATCCTGCATTCCCCATGCCAGCCTCAGCAGGATCTGGATACTCCCAAGAAATCTATTTAAATTGCAGTATGTCTGCCACCTGATTCTGTGACCCTGATTTATGTGCAGTGTTGATTAGTAAATATTGCATCACTTTAATCACTGGTTTAGGAAAGTGTTCCCTCTCCTGGCAAAGAAGCTCATCCCTTTCATTCTCAGGATGCTTCTGCTTTTCTGCTTCTGCTCTTGCTAATGAGGTTCAGACTAACATTTTGAGTATTGGAGTAGACAGGTTGGTAATCCAGGCCTCTGCCTTCCAGATCCACACACAGCAAACCAGCATTGGACCTGGACCAATCTGGTTTGCAGGCACTCATGTCCCATAGATCTGGTTTGTGCTGGTGAGATGTGCCACCCGGACAGCTTCCCTTGGTGCTGTTGGCAAACATTTGGGATTTTGAGGCTGGTTTGTGTCTTGGCAAACGGCAGGTGCGCTATGGGCAGCTGCAGAAGCAGCAGGAGCTGCTGATTCGGGCGATGGAGGCGTGTGTTTCCCAAAGAGAGACAATAACAGATCAGGCAGAGGCTCAGAGCAAATTAAAACACAGCACCAAGAGCGACTTCCAAAGCAGGAAACAGGAGCTGAAGAAGAAGATCAGGGAAATCCTGGAGGTGAGCAAGGAAAGTGGGGCTGCAGGAGCTCACACAGCTGGGGTTGGCCTTGTGGTGGGCAGCAGTGAGCACTGGAGTGCCCCTGTGCCAGCACAGGGACAGGCTTGGAAAGTCATTCATTGAAAATCCCCCAAAACCCAGTTCTGGGAGGATGGTCAGGAGTGCAGCTGAACTAGAGAACTGAAATCTGCCATTCCCTTCTCTTCCATTTACTAGAACATTTATGTATGCAACCAAACCATGCAGGAGCTGGGGACCACCCAAGAGTCCCTCAATGACAACTTTTCAGAAAAGCAGCAGGAAGTGTGCCAGCTCCAGGCTGAGACCGACAGCCTCAGCTTGGACAGGGAATATCTCCAGAATGAGAAACGATGGGTGAGCACATCCTCTCCCTCACAGTGTGTGAGCCAGACAGAGCCTGCTGCTTCCTCTGCTGCCAGCTCTAATGTATTGGAACAACACATTAACTGAGCACGTTTTGGGGGCTCACCAAGAGCCAGCTTGACGTATTGAAACCCTGTCCTGGTGAGGGTTGCCTTACGTATGTGGGAATTTCTCTGATTTATGGAATTCTGTGACGTCTGTACCTCTCCAACACCCGGGCTAGGGGTGCTGTTTGGCTGCTATGGTGGGGAAGTCACAGCACTGTCCTTCCCTTGTCCAACGTGCTGGTCACAGCACCTGACATGAGTCCTGCCCATGCTTTTCCTGCTGTCACAGTCCCTTCACTTTTTGCTTTTCTCAGAACCTGTTGGAGCTTGTGGCTCACCAGGCACGCCAGAAGCAGCTGCAGGCACTGAGGCAAGGGAAGTACAAGGCCCTGTGCCACACTGAAGAGGCCTGCATGAACCAGCAGGAGAAACTGGAGGCTCGGCTGCAGACCATTAACACCATCGTGCAGCAGATCCAGGAGGAGCAGCCCGAGCACCAAAGGGCTCTGCAGTGGCTCAGTCACTGCCTGAGATCCAAGCTCGGGTCGGCGAAAGCCTGACAGAAACACAGAAAATACATGTAGTATCTTTTACATTCTTCCACAGGCTCCAGACTTTGTAAATAAATAAACAGATAAATAAATAAAGCAGGTGCGGGGTATAACATTTACTTTGTCGAGTATAATGTTTATTTCAGACGTACCACTGTAATCCTTTCGGTATGTTTCTGTTTACGTTTCACTTTCTCTGCCCCAAGCAGCTCCGCCTCCCCGCCCCGCCCCGGTGGAGCCCCGATTTTCCGGGGTGCGGGCGGCCCGGCCGCGTTCTGCCGCGGCTCTTGGCCCAGCGCGGGCTCGGCCCGCCCTGGTGCTTCTTCCCCCGCGGCTACCGCAGCTACCGCGCCGAGAACCTGACGGCCACCGAGAGCGGCTTCTCGGCCCGGCTGCACCGCGTGGCCGCCGCCTTCCTGCCCGGAGCGGTGGACGAGCTGCGGCTGGAGCTGGCGCTGGAGACCCCGGCCCGCCTGCGCTTCACGGTGCGGCCCGGCCCGGCGGGCGGTGCCCGGTGCCCGGTGCCCGTGCCCCGCTGACCGCTCTCCCCGCAGCTCCGGGACGCGGCCCGGCCGCGCTATGAGGTGCCGCTGGCCACGCCGCGGGTGCGCGGCCGAGCCCCCTCCACGCTCTACGGGCTGCAGCTCAGCCAGGACCCCTTCGGGCTCGTCGTGTGCCGGCAGCGCGGCGGGAGAGTCCTGTGAGTGCCCCCGAGCCCGCTCGGCTCCGAGGGACCCGGGGGGGAACGTGCACAGCCCCACAGAGCCGGGACACTGCTCGTCATTGCACAGCCCCACAGAGCCCGGATGGGTGCAGGGACACTGCTCGTTATTGCACAGCCCCGCAGTGCCAGGATGAGTGCAGGGACACTGCTCTTCATCAGTCTGGGACACTGGTGACAGCAGTGATGTGGCTGTGGGGGCTTTACTTTGAGTCCTTCTGCAGTTCCGTGGCTGGGCAGGGAACCAGGAGTCCCAGAGCTCACACAAATCTTGTTTTTATTTCCCCTGGTGATGAGCACCCGTGTCCCAGCCCAGCACCAGTGGCCCCAGTTCAGCGCCTCCCTCCCAGCCCTTGGCTGAGTCTCCCTTTCTCTCCGCAGGCTGAACACCACGGTCGCACCCCTCTTCTTCACAGACCAGTTCCTGCAGATCTCCACCTCCCTGCCCTCCCATTTCATTTCGGGGCTGGGGGAGCACCTGACACCGCTGTTCCTCGACACAGCATGGACCAGGGTCACCCTCTGGAATCGGGACATGGCACCTGCGGTACGGAGCGGGGCTGAGGGAAAGGGAGATGATTAACCTGTGCTCCTGGGGGTGGCCCTGTGGCTTCTCCTGGGGCTGGGGAGATGTGTGTGTGCTGGTTCAGCTCTGGGCCTCAGCCATAACACTGCACAACCCATGGGACCCCTGTCCCCAGGCCCAGGTTTGTCCTGCTGGAGCTCTGTGCTGCCTGGGAGTGTTTGCAGGGCTCTGGCTCAGGGCAGGGCTCGGCTGAGGTGACAGAGTTTGGGAGCACAGCCCTGGCTTTGCACCTGAAGCCAGTGCTCCTGAGCAGAGGTGGGGGTGGTCAGGTGGGTGTGGGGGTCTCCAGCAGAGCCTCACTGGCACCACACTGTGCTCTACTCCAGCCCCACATCAACCTCTACGGCTCCCACCCTTTCTACCTGGTGATGGAGGACGATGGTTCAGCCCACGGTGTCTTTCTGCTGAACAGCAACGCGATGGGTGAGTCCCGTGGGGCGCCAGGCGTGGGCCTGGCCCTGTCCTCATCCTCAGCTTCCTCCCCTGGCACTTGTGCTTCCCCAGACGTGCTCCTGCAGCCCAGCCCGGCCCTGACCTGGCGCACGACCGGGGGGATCCTGGACTTCTACATCTTCCTGGGCCCCGACCCCAAGAGCGTGGTGCGGCAGTACCTGGATGTGGTTGGTATGGCTGAGCCTTGGCCAGGATGGCTCTGCCGGGATGCCGTGAGCCGTGTGGCACAGCAGGGCTCTGGGGTGGCACAGCAGGGCTCTGGGGTGGCACAGGGCTGAGCCATCCCTGCCAGCACCCGCCCTCTGCCCTCCAGGGTTCCCCTTCATGCCCCCGTACTGGGGCCTGGGCTTCCACCTGTGCCGCTGGGGCTACTCCTCCACCGACATCACCCGGCAGGTGGTGGCCAACATGACAGCAGCCCGCTTCCCCCTGGTAGGTCTGGGGGGCCCCTGGGGCTGTGGGGGGCTGGTGGGAGCCCTGGGGTGGGGGTCCCACAGCAGCTCGTGGGTCCCTGCTCCTGCCCAAGCCTCCATCCACAGGATGTGCAGTGGAACGACCTGGATTATGCAGATGCCAAGAGGGATTTCACCTTCAACAAGAAAGGCTTCAGGGACTACCCGGAGATGGTGCGGGAGTTCCATGACCGCGGGCTGAGGTACATCATGATCGTGGTGAGTTGCACGGGCGGGCTGGCACAGGTTCAGCTGCCCCAGGGTGGTGATGAGGGCAGGGCTGCCTGTTCCCTGCTGTTGCTGCTAAAGCCCTGGCTTTGTGCCCTTCCAGGACGCTGGGATCAGCAGCTCGGGGCCCCCTGGCACATACAAGCCCTACGACGAGGGTCTGAAGCGAGGGGTGTTCATCCGAAATGCCACGGGGCAGCCCCTGATCGGGAAGGTGTGTGTGGGGAGCAGCCCTGGTGCCCACGGGGCAGGGCTCGAGTGGGGCTGTGGCAGCACCCCAAGAGTGGGAGAGAAACCTCTGGGGGGCTGTGGTGGAAGGTGGGGGCTCTGCCCAATGCTCTCCCCCCTGCAGGTCTGGCCAGGCCCCACGTCCTTCCCCGACTTCACCAACCCAGAGACTCATGAGTGGTGGCACGACATGGTGAAGGACTTCCACGACCAAGTGCCCTTCGATGGCATGTGGCTTGTGAGTGGCCCGGTTGCAGCTGCTGGCCCTGGCTCCTGCCCTGCACTCTGCTGGGCCCGGCTGCAGCAGCGAGGCCATCCCACCCTCTCCTTCCCTTCCAGGACATGAATGAGCCGTCCAACTTCGTGGAGGGCTCCCAGGATGGCTGCCCCAACAACAACCTGGAGCATCCCCCCTACGTGCCAGGTACAGGAGTGGGTTCCAGCCCTGCCCAGGGCTCTGGGGACGCCGGGAGGAGCCTGGGGGATGCTGTGAGCTCCACCTCTCCCCTGCAGGTGTGTTTGGGGGACGCCTGCAGGCCGGGACCATCTGTGCCTCCAGCCAGCAGTACCTGTCCTCTCACTACAACCTGCACAGCCTGTACGGGCTGACCGAGGCCATCGCCTCCCACAAGTGAGCCTGGGGCTCCTGCCACTGCTCCTGCACATGCTGGGGGTGCAGAGCTGGGAGAGACCCTGCATGGGCAGTGTGGGCAGGCCTGGGGCTCCTGCCACTGCTCCTGCACATGCTGGGGGTGCAGAGCTGGGAGAGACCCTGCATGGACAGGCCCTGGGGGGTGGGTGAGGGTTTGGTGTGGAACACAGGGCACTGTGGGAGCCCTGAGCCCCTTCCCCAGCTGGGGGGTGCTGAGCAGACCCCTCCCACTCCCAGTGCTCTGCTGAGGGTCCGGGGCAAGCGTCCCTTCATCATCTCACGCTCCACCTTCGCTGGGCACGGGCGCTACGCCGGGCACTGGACAGGAGATGTTGGCAGCGACTGGGAGCAGCTCTACTACTCCATACCAGGTATCTGTGGGGCACTGGGCCTGCACCCACAGCCCTGCTTCCCCCTTGCCCCCACAGCCAGGGGCTTCTCCACAGGCTCCATCCCCAGGTGCTGCAGAGCCCTGATGCCCTCTGTGCCCTCTGCAGAGGTGCTGCTCTTCAACCTCTTTGGGGTGCCGCTGGTGGGTGCCGACATCTGCGGCTTCCTGGGCAACACCAGCGAGGAGCTGTGCGTGCGCTGGACCCAGCTGGGCGCCTTCTACCCCTTCATGAGGAACCACAACGACCACGGCACCCGGGTGAGCCCTGGGAGCCCTCACCCGCCGGGCAAGGGGCCCTGGGCCCAGCCAGGGCTGCCCTGCCAGCGTGGGAAGGTGGCTGGTTCAGCTGCAGGGCTGTGTGCCCCCGTGCTGGAGGCCATCCCGCATCCCTGAAATGCACCCTCCGTTCCTCCCCGCACCGGCTGAGCTTCCCCTCGGGCCATTCCCCTCCCTCCCCGCAGCCGCAGGAGCCCTTTGCCTTCAGTCCGCCCGCCCAGGCTGCCATGAGGAACGCCCTGCGTCTCCGCTACTCCCTCCTGCCCTTCCTGTACACGCTGTTCCACCGCGCTCACAGCGCCGGCCAGACCGTGGCACGGCCCCTGTTCCTCGAGTGAGTGCCAGCCCCGCTGGGGCTCAGCGGGAGGCAGCTCCAGGGTCTCCTGGCACTGCCCTCCCTCCCCTTCCCTCCTTCCCCAGGTTCCCCACAGACCCCAACACCTGGGCTGTGGACCGCCAGCTCCTGTGGGGCGGGGGCCTGCTCATCACCCCCGTGCTGGAGCCAGGGCAGACCAAAGTCAGCGGCTACTTCCCAGCAGGGACGTGGTACAGCCTGGCAGGGGTGGGTGCTCCTGCTGTGTTGCACAGGGGGCTTTGCTGTGGCACCTCGTGCCCATTCCTGCATCCCGGCAGCCCCCTGGGGCTGTGTGTGGGTCTCATGCCTCACCTGCCTTTGCTGGTGGCCATTTGAGGGCTCTGGCACTGGGCTGGGCTCCCCTGCCATGTGGCACCCTGTGCCTGCTCTTCCCTCTCTCTGTCCCCGTGTAGGATTCCACCATCCACAGCAAAGGGCAGTGGATCCTCCTGCCAGCGCCCCTGGACACCATCAACGTCCACGTGCGTGCAGGGCACATCCTGCCCCTGCAGGTGAGCCCCCTCTGCTCCGTGCTGACACCACAGTGACCTGCCTGGCAGCCTGGGAGGGCGCAGTGCCCACACCGCTGCCAGGACAATGTCAGAGGAGCTGTGGCTGCAGGGCTGGGCACACGGCTGTGGCAGTGCCCTGAGCTGTGCCTGCCCCGTGCCCCAGGAGCCCGCCTTCAGCACTGCCCAGTCCCGTGGAAAGGGCATGGCCTTGGTGGTGGCGCTGAGCCTGGACGGCTTCGCCAGGGGAGAGCTGTTCTGGGACGATGGGGAGAGCTGGGAGACCTTTGAGAGGGGCGACTACACCGAGATCCTCTTCCTGGCCTCCAACGTGAGCACGGGGAGCTGCTGGCAGGGCTGGGCAGGGCTCCTGGTGGCCCTGGCACACCTGTGTCTGCTCAGAGGGGCAGCAGGTGCGGTGGGGCACCTGGAGGAGCCCTGGGGGCACGTGGGGTGGCTGAGAGCCAGGAGCACACGGTGCCATCCCCTGTGCCCAGGATGCTGTGCTCAGCCAGCTGCTGCGGGCAAGTGCCCACCTGGATGGGGTCCTGCTGGAGGCTGTCACTGTGCTGGGGGTCACCAGCCCTCCCCGGAGAGTTCTGGCCAACGGTGCCATCGTGAGTGACTTCTCCTACCGCAGTGACACCCAGGTGAGCGCTGCTTCCCAGCCTGGGCAGGGGTGGTGGCCAGGAAGGGACCCGGAGTGCCCCACTGATGGCACAGCACGGGCCATGGGTGCCCTGCCCAGGGGATCTGTGGGACCAGGACTGTGCCAGGCTGTCGCTCTGTGAGGGGCAGGACCCTCCTGGGCTCTGACACTCCTGGGCTTCCTCCTGCCTGGCTCTCACCTTCCTTCTCCCCTCAGGTGCTGAGTGTCCCTGTGTCACTGCCCATGTGGGAGCAGTTTGTGATCTCCTGGTCCTGACCAGCATGGGTCACAGGGAGTATTCCAGGGATGCTGCTTCCCTGGAATCCAAGGCCAAATCCATCCCATCCCCTGTACCCTGAGCTGCCCCTGCTCTTCCCACACTCCTGGGCCTTGTTCTCCCTCTGGCTTCTGGGTGTGCACTGGACTGGCAGAGGGAGGGGGGCCTTGCACAGCCCCCAGGGACAGGGAAAACATCACCATCATCAAATCAGGGGAAAAAATACCCAAGTGCCTTGTGAGACAGCAAACCAGTTACTCTGGGGACTGGTAACTGGGGCACAGACTGCAGGGAGTTTCCTGGCTGTGGTTTTGGGGAGGGGGATGCGCAGGGGCTGAGGGAGCAGTACTGTGAATAAAGCTGCTGTTTGCTGGGAGCAGCCCCAGGCCGTGTCCTTGTCCCCTCTCCTGGTCCTGAATGTGCTCAGCCCCCTGCTCCTGGCTGGGACACCCCAGCTCTGTCCTTGCCTGGAGGTCTCCAGCAGGACCCCCTGTGCCCCTTGAAGGCTTTCCCAGAGCACTGGGGGTCTCCAGCTGTTCCTGCAGCCCTGGCTGTGCCACAGAGGCCCTTGGCCTGTCCTGCTGCCTCCAAGCTGGGGGCTGCTGCAGGGCTGTGCCCAGCTCCAGGTGAAAATGAGAGCCTTACCCTCTAGAGGCTTTATTGAGGGGCAGCTTGGCCCTTCAGCTCCTCTGGCTGAGAGCCAAGGCACCAGGAATCCCTCAGTGCTCTGGGGCCAGGCGGTGTTGGCAGCACAGAGGGCAGAGCTTCGTGGTGTCCCCCGGGATTTGGGACCAGCCCTTGTCCCCCATGGGAGCAGAGCACTGCCGGGGCACAGGGAGGGTCTGAGCCCCATGGGAGCACAGCACTGCAGGGGCACAAGGGGGGTGTGAGCCCCACGGGAGCACAGCACTGCTGGGGCACAGGGGGTGTCTGAGCCCCACGGGAGCACAGCACTGCCGGGGCACAGGTGGCACTCACAGGTGGCACTCACAGCTCGTTGTGCAGCGGCTGGCACTGAGGGCTCAGTTTCTCCTCCAGGACAGCGTCGGGGGCGCACACCCAGGGGTCCCCCGTGTCCCACTGCCACCGGAGGAGCTGGGCACGCAGCAGCTGCAGGACGCTGGCATAGCGTGGGTCGGGGGCCAGGTTCTGGCTCTCGGCGGGGTCGCGGCTGCAGTCGAAGAGCTCCCAGCGGGCCCGGTAGTAGTACTGCTGCAGGCTCCTGTTCCAGTGCGTCGGCTGCCCCGCCCTGGTGCGCTCCAGCACGTCCTGGAAGGTGGGCGAGACGTAGAAGTCCTGGTCGATGGGGAAGGGCATCTTGTAGTTGAGGTTGTGGATGAGGCGGAACTGGCGGTGCTGGATGGCTCGCATGGGGTAGTACATGGTCACCTCGTGGTGGCTCTGGCTGCTGAAGGCGGTGGCCCAGGGCTGCTCCGAGTCCAGGGCTGGCAGGAGAGACTTTCCAGTGAGCTGCACCTGCCTGGTGCCAAAGATGCTGTAAGCAGGGTAGGGGATGGAGAACCAGTCCAGAATGGTCGGTGTCAGGTCTGGAGGGGAGGAAAAAGGTGAGAGTAGGGACAGGCACTGTGGGAGGAAACTCAGCCCCAGAGAGCGGCAGAAAGGTCCCCAGGGATGGTGTCCCTGCAGGGGACCCCCTTCTGTCCTCCTTCCTCCGCCTTCCCTGCACTGGCCCTGCCAATGCTGAGGGCTCGGGGCTGCCCCCAGGGACAGGACCCTGAGTTTTGGTGCAGGGAGGGTGGAGAGCAGCCCACCCCCCCAGGCAGAGCCGGGCTGCCTCCCTCCCTCCCTTCCTCAGCTCCTACCCAGGAGGCTGGCGAAGGCCGGGCTGACGTGCCCCCAGCGCTGGGGGTGCTCGGGGGAGGAGAGGAGCAGCGGCTGGGCGGTGCCCGAGCGGTAGAGGTTGGTCCTGCCCCCGGGGAAGGGGATGCCGTTGTCGGAGGTGTAGATCACCAGCGTGCTGTTGAGGAAGCCGGCGCGGCGCAGCTCCTCCAGGACCAGCCCGATCCCTGTGAGAGCAGGGGCAGAGCTCAGCGGGAGGGAGAGAGGAGCTGCAGAGCTCAGCCCCAGCCTGGCCACGGCTCCCACCTTGGTCCATGCGGCCGATGGTCGTGTACTGGGCAGCCAGGTCCTGCCGGGCAGCCGGCGTGTCCGGGACAAAGGCAGGGACCTAAATGGAGACAGGGAAAGGGACACGTGGCTGACACAGGCCCCTGTCCTTCACCAGCTCTTGCTGTGACACTGGGAGCAGTGACAAGATGGGGGCCAGCCCTGGTTCCATCCGAGGCTGCCACCATGTGCAGCCCCACACGTTCCCACGGGTTCTCACCTGCACTTGCTCTGGGCTGTAAATCTGTGGCTTCCAGTCAGGAATCCAGCCCATCCCGCTCTCTCCATTGCCAAACTTCTCACAAAAGGCCCCATATTGGGGCTGGGAGTGCCCACAGCGATGAGGGTCATGGAAGGCAACATAGAGGAAGAAAGGCCTAGGGATGGAAAGGGGGGATGTGGAGGTGGTGAAGCAAAGGACTGCCCAGAGACCTTCCTGGGCTGTTCCACGGCAAGCTGGGGTCAGCAGGATCCCCCCACCTAATCTGGATATGGGGGGACTCAGGGACAAGGGGTCCCTTCTTGTCTGTGACCAGCTGGGCCATGGGGACGCATCTTCAGTGCAGCCATTCCCAGGACAAGGGGGCAGTCTCACCTCTCATCCTGGCTCTGCAGGAAGCGCCGGACAAGCAGCTTGATCCGGGTGATGTTCCTCCCAACCTGCAGGACCGAACTGTTCTCCTCTGTGTAGGCAAAGTCGAAGGGGTACACAGCCCCTGGCCCCACATGCTTCTTTCCAATTATCCCTGTGAGAATGCAGACAGTGCTGTGGAGGAGCAGTGCAGGGGGCATGGGGCTGCTGCTGTCTCCTCTCTGCAGGGACAGCCACAGGTCCAGGGAGCTCTGTCACTGGGGTTTGGCCTGCCTGTCCCAGCTCCTACCTGTCCGGATGCCTGCCTGGCTGAGCAGCAGGGGCAGGCTCCGCACGCCATCGAAGGAGTTGAAGTGATGCACGTCCTGGTGCAGCCCGTACATCCCGTTCTGGTGCTGCGGGGACAGGGCACGGTCGGACCAGGGCTGCCAGCCCGGCTCCAGAACACGTCCAGCCGTGCCCGTGACTCCTGCCGTGGGCTGGCAGCCCCGGCCCGGCGTGGGCAGGTGCCCCTACCTGCGGTAAGCCGGTCAGGATGCTGGCCCGGCTCGGGGAGCAGCTGCTCACGGAGGTGAAGGCGTTCTGGAAGACCAAACTGCGCCGGGCCAGCGCGTCCAGGTTCGGCGTGCGGATGGCCGAGTTGTTGTAGGCGCCACTCTCGAAGCCGCCGTCATCGGCTGCGGGACGGGCGCGGGGTCAGCCCGGGGTGTCCCTGAGCTCAGCCCGGGGGTGTCCCTGACCGGGCGCGGGGTCAGCCCAGGGGACACTGATGACACCAGGAGCATCCCCGGGCTGCAGAAGGGATGCAGCGGAGGGGATGCAGCAGAGCCCGGAACCGTCCCTCCCAGCCGCGGGATGCCCCCAGCGCCGAGCCCCGGGCAGGGGGAGCCGGGCCGGGCCGCACTCACCCAGGAGCAGCAGCACATTGCGGGCCGGGGCCGCGGCTGTGCCGGGCCGGAGCGCGCCCAGCAGCAGCAGCAGCAGCAGCGCCCAGGGCCCCGGCACCGGACCGGTACCGCACCGGCAGCAGCAGCGGGGCTCGGCGGCTCCTCCGGCCGCCCCGGCTCCTCCTCACGCCGGTCACATGAGGCGCCCCGGCCGCTCAGATCCGGCGCGGGCGGAGCCGCGGGCTGGGCCGCGCTGGCACTGACCCCGCCCCGGTACCGACCGCAGCCCCGCGGGGTCCCCGCTCCGCCCCGGTACCGACCGCGGCCCCGCGGGGTCCCGGCCATGCCGCGGTCGCGGTGCCCGCGCCCGGCGCTGCCGGTGCTGCGCTGGCTCCCGCGGTACTCCCGGGCGTGGCTGCCGCTGGACCTGCTGGCCGGGCTGGCCGTGGGACTGACCGCCGTGCCCCAGGCGCTGGCCTACGCCGAGCTGGCCGGGCTGCCGCTGCAGGTGGGTGCCGGGAGCCGCGGGCCTGCCGCTCCCCGGCTGCCTCCGGCCGGGCTGACCCCGCTCCCGGGCAGCCCCGCAGTGTGGCGGGCAGGGCTGGGTGACCGAGGGCTGGAGCTGTGCGGTTGCCCATTTGCCGGGCAGGATGCCATGCGGGTGCCAAAGACCCTGAAGTGACCCGAGATCAGCCCAGCCCTCCCAGTCCGGGAGGTGTCCGGCCTCTCCCGGCTCCCAGGGCTGTGCCAGTGCCCCTTCTGTCCCCCTGCAGTACGGCCTCTATTCCTCCTTCATGGGCTGCTTCGTGTACTGCCTCCTGGGCACGGCCAAGGACGTGACGCTGGGTCCCACGGCCATCATGTCCCTGCTGGTCTCCTCGTACACCTTCCACCAGCCCGGCTATGCCGTCCTGCTCGCCTTCCTCTCTGGCTGCATCCAGCTGGCCATGGGGCTCCTGCGCCTCGGTGAGATCTCTTGCCATGCACTGATGTGTTTAGGATCTTGCTGCACAGCCTCTAGTTGTTCCTTCCTCCTCTCTGCTCTGCGGGACACTGGGAATGTCCTGCTGTCCCACCGGGGTCAGGAGCGTGCTCACTGCCCCCATCCCATGCAGGACTCCTTCTGGATTTCATTTCCTGCCCTGTCATTAAGGGGTTCACATCAGCTGCCTCCATCACCATTAGCTTCAACCAGGTCAAGGTAGGATCTGCCCTGTCCTGGCTGCCTCTCCAGCTCTCTCCTAGTGCTGTGCAACTGGGATATTCAGCACCGGGCTGGGCCATGTGCTTGGTGCCAGTGGTTCTGCTGGTTTAGGGGTCCCAGGACCCCCTGCCAGTGGTTCTGCTGGTTCCCTGAGTGCTGTGCTCGGAGCAGACCGAGCTGAACACACCCTCTGCTGGTGACCAGCTGGTGGCATCCAGGACACCAGTGAAACCAGGACACGGGATTTGGTCACTTGCAGCAGGCACTGGGCGATTCTCTGGCACGATGGGTTTGCAAATTTGGAAGCTGGGGGTGGTTTGCAGCCCCAGCAGCCCCTCGCTGGCCTTGCAGGGACCTGAGGCTCTGCTGGGCTGCCACGCTTCCTTTGTGGTTAACCCAAATCAGAGCCTCTGGCAGCAGCTCCAGGCTGGTGTTGGCTAATGGCTGTGGTCACGGGGCCGGCCGTCAGCACGCCTTGTCTGCCTGCACAGAACATCCTGGGGCTGCAGGAAATCCCGAGGCAGTTCTTCCTGCAGGTCTACGAGACACTCCGGAGGATTGGGGAGACCAGGTCAGCACCACCCTGCCCTGCAGCTGCTGTGCTCCCATCTTTTGGTCACAGCTTGGACTGATTTCTCGCTGTGACACCAGGCCCCTGCCCTGGCCTTTGTGGGAGCTCTCACAGCGTGTTTGGGGTGGCTCTGATGTGCCTCTTGCAGGGCTGGGGACGCTGTGCTGGGGCTCAGCTGCCTGGCAGCGCTGGCAGGGCTCCGGGCCATGAAGAGCCGCCTGCCCCAAGCTGCCCCCACAGAGCCGCTGGCTGTCAGGATCAGCTACCTGATTGTGTGGATCACTGCCACAGGTGTGTCCTCTGTCCCCTGCCCCGTCCCCTCCCAGGGCTCATCTCTGGCTCAGGGAAGACAGAGCCTGAAAATGGGGAAGCCCAGGCTGGCAGGAACCAAGAGCCGGAGGTGGGGCAGGGAGGACAATGTCCCAGTGCTCCTGCCACCGTGCCCCTTCCTAAGGCTGGAAATTCCCCAGCAGCTCAGATGCCCATCTCCTGCCCCCCTCCTGCCCTGGGCTCCGGGCACGTTTCATGGCTCTCTCTCCACTTTGGCAGCCCGCAATGCTCTCGTTGTGCTGTTTGCTGGCCTGGTGGCTTACTCCTTCCAGGTGCTGGGCTCCCAGCCCTTCAGGCTCACAGGCAGCATCCCCCAGGGCCTGCCAGCCTTCCAGCCACCGCGCTTCTCCCTGGCAGCGCCCAACGGCACCGTCCCCTTCCACAGCATGGTGCAGGTGGGTGCTGGCAGCTCCCCAGGGGCTGCTCTGCTCCCTGCTGCGGGTGCTGGGTGCCAGCCCCGCTGACTGGATCCTTCCTGCCAGGACATGGGGGTCGGGCTGGCTGTGGTGCCGCTCATGGGGCTGCTGGAGACCGTCGCCATCGCCAAGGCTTTTGGTAGGGCTGGGCCAGCTCCTGCCCTGTGCTCTCAGGGGGTTTCTGCAAGGGCTCGGGGTGCTGGGGAGGGGTCTCTGCAAGGCTTGGTGCTGGGGAAGGTGCTGTTCCTTTTGGGGCACTGGGGGGCACTGGGCTCCAGTTCATAGCATGGACTGGCAGGAGGGGTCCTGTGGGGTGCACAGCTGAAATCTGCCCAGGAGTTGAGCGTTGTCTCGGGGTGCTCCTGTGCCCGAGGGGTGCCAGGACAGGGCCCACGCTGTCCCAGTCATGGCTGGTTCTGCTCCCTGTGCGTGGCAGGTGCCTATGCAATCCTCAGGCCAACGCCAACATCTCCTTTCAGCCTCACAGAACGGTTACAGGATTGACCCTGACCAGGAGCTGCTGGCTCTGGGTAAGAGCTGCTTGCTCAGGAGGGCAGGGGTGGGGCTGGGTGTCGCACAGCCCCTGGGCTGCCTGAGATCCCCATCTGGGCAGTCCTGCCCCCACCTGAGCTTCTCCCTTACCTCACATGCTGTCCCCACCCAAGGCGTTCTCTGAGCTCAGAACAGCCCCTGGGCTGCCTGAGATCCCCATCTGGGCAGTCCTGCCTCCACCTGAGCTTCTCCCTCCCTTACCTCACATGCCGTCCCCACCCCAGGCGTTCTCTGAGCTCAGGAATTTCCAGAGCAGGCTGAGTCACTCCTGCATGGTCACAGCGGGGACACAGACACAGCAGTGCCCCCCCAGCCCCTGTCCTGGGGACACAGACACAGCAGTGCCCCCCAGCCCTCTCCTTTGTCTCCTCAGGTGTTGCCAATGTCCTGGGCTCCTTTGTCTCCTCGTTCCCCATCACGGGCAGCTTTGGCCGGTGGGTAGCAGGAGGGGGAGCAGGGCACTCGCTGGGGCTGCATGCTGAGGGAGCTCTGCAAGATCCTGAGTGGCAGACTGTGCTGTCCCCACTGGGTCCCTGAGCTCATGTCCTGGTCCCCAGCAGCCCATCTTGGTGGCTGGGCTATGCATGTGTGCTGGTGTTCACCTTCCCTTTGTTGAGGGGCACCTCCCTCCCTGCTGTGCAGTCCTGGAAGCCGGGGCTTGCTCGGGTTCCTCCCTGCCAGGGCAGGTGGCTCTCCTGGGTGGGGTCTGGGCAGTGGGCAGGAGCAGCCCCCAGCCCTGCCCAGCCTGGCTCAGGTGGGTTTGTGTTTCAGGACGGCGGTGAATGCTCAGTCAGGGGTCTGCACCCCCGCGGGAGGGCTCGTCACAGGTACAGCCCTGGGGACCCTGGGGACCCTGGCTGTCAGGGACCCCTGGGAGTGGGGTACCCCTGGCTGTCAGGTGCCCGTGGCTCAGGGTCCCTCTCCTGCAGGTGCCCTGGTCCTGCTGTCCCTGGCATACCTCACCTCTCTCTTCTACTACATCCCCAAAGCAGCGCTGGCTGCTGTCATCATCTCGGCCGTGGTGCCCATGTTCGACGCTGGCATCTTCCGGACGCTCTGGCGGGTTAAGAGTGAGGGCATGGGTGGGGAATGGGCAATCCCCCAGTCCAGCCATCCAGGAGCCACTCTGGCAGTCACACCCGCCCCCCTGGGCTGGGACTGAGGCCCCCTCACAGCTCCCCCTGCCCCACTCACACAGACCAGGTCTCCTCTCCAGCTCTACCCCAGGTTTCCATAGCAGAGTCTCAGACATCCAGATCCTTAAAATAATTTAATCATGGTGCCATAACTAAATAACAGAATGACAGCTCCAGTTGGGTGTTTCTGGGGAGGGATCCAGAATGAAGGAGCCTGGGAGCTTTTGTCCTTTTATCCCCTCATAGACCTGCAAAAGTCTGGGGACAGTCTCTGAGTGTCCCATCACAGTCTCTGAGTGCCCCATCACTGTCTGAGTGCCCCATCACTGTCTGAGTGTCCCATCACAGTCTGAGTGTCCCATCAGTCTCTCTCGAGTGCCCATCATGTGGCTGCCCAGGGTTCCTGGCTCCTTTGTCATGCAGAGGGGACAGTTCACGGCCCCTCCCAAGGGCTCCCACCCAGAGCTCCACCTGCACGAGTGGACTCCTCAGGAGTGGATTCCTCCAGACCCGGGTGCAGCCGCAGAGCTGGCACCGTCACTGAGTGCCCTGTGGCACCAGGACCAGCCACAGCTGAGCCTGTTTTCTCTCTCTTGTAGGGCTGGACCTTGTGCCCCTCTGTGTGACGTTCCTGCTCTGCTTCTGGGAGGTGCAGTATGGGATTGTGGCTGGGGTGCTGGTTTCTGGGGTTCTCCTGCTCTACTCCATTGCCAGGCCCCCAATAAAGGTGAGCTTCTCCCCTGCCCTTGTGTTGGTGTTCCCAGCTTTACAGAGATGGGGCAACTGAGAGGTGTTTTAAAGGATTTTATTCCATTGTCACCCTCGGTGAAGGGTGAGACATAAGAGATGTAAAACTCAATGCTGTTCCATTAGAAGCCAACCCATTTACTGGTTACAGTACATTATCAATGTCCTCCAGCCTATTAGCTTTTGCCACACAATGCTGCTATTAGTTCTAACACAAATCACTTATATTTTTACCCCATGTAATGCTACAGTGCATCTTTCACAGTTCTAATTCTCTAAAATATCTGGTCTTTATGCAAGGCCATAGTTTGAAACTGGTTGAAACTTGTTTCCAGTTCAGTCTCTCTCCCAACAATGTCATCTCTATTCCATGGCCTTCCTAAGTCATCACACCTTATCTCAGAGTTTGCACACACTTGTACAAGACAGTGTGAGCTTTCTGTCAGGTTTTGAGAATTCCTCACAAATCCATTTCTCACACCCTTGGATGTGGCAGGGCCAGGGAGCTGGGAGGGAGCTCCTGAGGGCAGGAGGTGCTGGGGTGCAGGATTCTCCTGACCTGTTCTTGCTGTCCCCATTCTGCCACAGGCACAGCACAGGGACCCCTTTCAAACAGCAGGAGGAAGGGAATATCCTCAGAGTGGAGAGCAGGACAGGGAGGCATCACTGCCCTGCCCTGCTGACACTGGGCTGTGTGCAGGAGGGTTTCCCTGAGGAATGGGGGCTCCTGCTCCTCCCAAGCCATCCAGGAGGGCAGGGAGTGGCATGGGCAGCTGTCCCTGGCAGGGGAGGTCACAGCCCTGAGCTCCTGTGGCTGTCCCTGCCTGGGGAGGTCACAGCCCTGAGCTCCTGTGGCTGTCCCTGCCTGGGGAGGTCACAGCCCTGAGCTCCTGGGGCTGTCCCTGCCTGGGCAGTGTCACAGCCCTGAGCTCCTGTGGCTCTGTCCCCCCACAGGTGTCAGAGGGGTCCGTGCTGCTGGTGCAGCTGGGGAGCAGCCTGCACTTCCCAGCCGTGGAGCACCTGAGGGACACGGTGTGCAGCCGTGCTCTGGCAGGTACAGTGCTCCTGGGCTGCCCTGGGGACACGGCTGTCACTGCCTGCATCGCTTTGCTGTGGGTGGCAGGTGCTGCCAGGCCCAGGGACTGCAGGTGTCAGCAGTGTCAGCACAGCTGTGCCACCCTGCCAGCCCTGCCCCGGGCTGTGACCCTGGGCTGCTCATTCCTGGACTTGTTGGGACATGCCCTTGTGCTCTTCCAGCAGCATCTCCAGCCGGCTCTGTGGTGCTGGACTGCAGCCACGTCAGCAGCATCGATTACACGGCGGTGCTGGGGCTGGCAGAGCTGCTGCAGGAGCTGCGCAGGCACGGCCTCTCGCTGGCCTTCTGTGGCCTGCAGGTGTGTGGCACCTCAGCCGTGCCACCCTGGCACTGGGAAGGGTGTGGGTGTGGCTGGTGGGCTCTGTGCTGGCCTCTCCTCAGGTGGCACCATCACCATCCCGAGCACCTTCATCTGACAGAGCTGGGGGTGCTGGGGTGGCTGGGGGCTCTGCCTGGGGGATGGGAGTGGCCAGCACTCCCCCAGCCCAGGTTTCTCTGCCCTCAGGACCCCGTTCTCCAAGTGCTCCTGTCTGCAGGCTTGGAAGGATTCCAGCATTTCCCCAGCTGGGAGGAGGCAGGTGAGGCTCTGGGCTGCTCTCCCAGGGTGGGGGAGGGTGGCACTGGAGGACACTGTGGGGATCTGACCTGTCCAGCTGCAGAGCAGCAATGTGGGGGCTGCAGGGGTTCCTGGGAGGATGAGCTGGAGCCCCTCCCAAGAATTGGGTCTCCCCAGCCTTGGGGATTTGTGGTGAGCTCTGGTGGTGCAACCCAGCAGCAGCTCAGCACCACAGAGCCCTTCACTCCTCCTGCAGAGGGGTGGGACAGAAGCAGAGAAAAGAGAAAACTCTTGGGCTGAGATGAAGGCAATTTAATAGGACAGGAAAGAAAGTGAAAATTACAATAACCATAAAGGAATATCCAAAGCCAGTGAGGCACAGGGTGCTTGCTCATCACCCTCTGAGCCATGCCCAGCCAGCCCCTGGGCAGTGACCCTCACCCCTCAGCCAAATCCCCCCAGAGCTTCCTTCAGCACCATGCCCTGTGCTCTGCAACATCCCTCTGGGCACTGGGGCAGCTCTCCTGGCTCTGCCCCCTCCCAGCTCCTCACTGCCTGAGAAGTCCTTGGCTTAGTGTAAGCATTGCTCAGCAGCAGCTCAACCATCAGGCTCTTATCAACAGGAGCCTCATCCTGAACCCAAACACAGCTCTGAACCAGCTCCTGGGAAGGAAATTCCCTCTGTCCCAGGCAGAGCCAGGGCATGAGCCTTGCCTTGACTCTGCTTCCCCTCTCCTGTCCCAGAGCTCAGGGCAGCGGAGCTGGGGGGCAGCAGGGCAGAGCCCCTCACCAGCACTGCCGAGAGCACCGGGCTCATCCAGTGAGACCAGTTTGGGCTGAACGTCCTGTGCCACTCCAGTGACACCAGCACCCTCCCTGGGAGCCAGCTGCCCCATCCTGGGCACGGGGATGGACTGTCCCCCTGTCCCACGGGGAGATGGACAGAGCAGCACCAGCCCGGCCCCACACGGGCTGTGGGACAGACCTGTTCCTTGTCACAGTGACCAGTGCAAAGCCGTCCTTCCTCCAGGGGGCTGCTGACATTTTTTAAACGACTGTTTTAATTCTGGACCTTTTTCATGTTCTGGGCCGCTCCAGTGGTGACACAGGGTGAGCTCTCAAAGCTGTTTCAGGGCTGCTGTTCTGCCCTCCAAGTGGACATGGGGGCTCAGCCTCCAGCTCTGGGAGAGGGAAAACGTCTGGGATTGTGCTCCTTACTGATTTTTATCCTTACCTTTTTTATCCTTAACTTGTCTGTGGGGTGTTGTACCAAACACTGCCCCGGGTCAGGGCTGGGCTGACACCCTGGGTCAGGGCTGGGCTGACACCCCGGGCCCTGCCGAGGGGACAGGCACGGTGACACCAGGACAGCACCTGGTGGGGCTGGGCAGGCTCGGGAATTCCGTTTCCCTGAACGGCCCTCAGCGAGGCTGTAATAAATCAGAAACTGCTAATGAGTCACTGTGATCTCTGCCTTCCGGAGGGAAAGCTTTTTCCTTTTGTGTGGGAAGGGGAGTTATCTTCTGGGTGCTGCTGAGCCTGCCGGGGAAAAGAAACCGAAAGCAATCTGGGGCACTGCGGGTGAAGGGAGCCCGAGGGCGCGGTCTGCACAGCTCCGGCTGCCGGGGGTGCTGGAAGGGCGGCACGGGGGCCCGGGAGGCACACACAACTGCCGGGATCACACACACCTGGTCAGGGATCACACACACCTGGTCAGGGATCACACACACCTGCCCAGGGATCACACACACCTGGTCAGGGATCACACACACCTGCCCGGGGATCACACACACCTGCCGGGATCACACACACGTGGTCAGGGATCACACACACCTGCCGGGATCACACACACCTGGTCAGGGATCACACACACCTGCCCGGGGATCACACACACCTGCCCGGGGATCACACACACCTGGTCAGGGATCACACACACCTGCCCGGGGATCACACACACCTGCCGGGATCACACACACGTGGTCAGGGATCACACACACCTGCAGAGATCACACACACCTGCCGGGATCACACACACCTGCCGGGATCACACACACCTGCAGGGATCACACACACCTGCTCGGGGATCTCACACACCTGCTCGGGGATCTCACACTGCCGTGCTCTGTCCTGCCCTGCAGAGCTCTGAGCTGTGAGTTCCTTGCTGCACCCTGGGGGTGCCGGAGGGGGATCCCGGGGCCATGGGGGTAAAACCGGCTGGCTGTTTAGGAATGCGTGTGTGCTCAAACCTGCGTGAGCGCTGCCGGAGGGCAGGAACGCTGCGAGCCTGCCTTCGGCTCGCTCCTGGTGGCTCCGGCATGGGGCACCAGCCGTGCCCCCACTTTTGGTGGTCGGGAGCAGCACAAGGTGCTCTCCTCCATCACACCTGCCCTCAGCGCTGCTGCCGGACTCTGCACCGGGCTGGTGGCTGGGGGATGCTCGGGGGTACCGGGGGGGACCCCGGCCGGGATGGGGCGCCCAGACGGGGCGGGACCCGCCGAGAGCCGCCCGGGGCCGGGTTTGCCGGGATTGGCCGGGGCGGTCCGGGGCTGGGCGGGCACCGCGACTGCAAAAACGAAAGTTGGCGGCTCGGCAGAGAAACGAAACTTGTCCGGGCGGGACTGGGCGGGAAGAGCGGGCGCTGCAGGTGCCCGTGCCCGGTCACTCGGTGAGTCGCGCTGCCGGGGCGGTGAGTGGCGGAGCGGGGCGCCGGGCCGGGCCTTGGGGGGCTGCGGGGCGGGGGCAGCCGCGGCTCCGGGTCCGGCGGCGCTGCGGGCTCCGGATCCCGCTGCACCCTCCCGGTGCCCCCGAAGCGCCTCGATTTCCCCGGTGCATCCTGATCTCCGACCTGCCCGGAGCCCTCCGGTGCGTCCCCGCGGACTCCCATCTCCTCCCTGTTCACCCGGGACGCTCCTATCCCCTGTCCCCTTCCCCGGTTCCTCCCCGGTGCTCCCCATGTCCCCCCCACCCCGGTTCTCCCCGTGTCCCCCTCCCCATCTCCCGGCGCCCCCCGGGAGCCGCGCTAGCCCCGCCCCAGCCCCGCCCCTCACTCACATAACTGGCTCATTAGCATACGGCCGCTCCTTCGCCACGCCATTGGCCCATCCGCCCTGCTCGTTAGCATATCTCCCGAGGGGGCGGAGAGCCGCCAGCGCGCGGGGAGCGAGAGCGTTGTCATTTGCATACAGGCCCCGCCCACGGGGCAGGCCCCGCCCAGACGGGGCGGCCCTCAGGGCCCTCAGCCATGGCCGAGCCCCGGCCCCGCTCCGGCCCCGCTGCTGGCACGGAGCTCCCGGCCGCGGCCCGGCCCGGCGGAGCAGCCCCGGGCAAGGCTCCGGGAAGGGGAGCCCGGCCCTCGGTGGGAGCACGGGCCCTGAGCGCGGGGGCGCGCTCGCTGTTTGTGTTTGTTTGCCTTTAGGCGCTGCGGTTCCCAGCCCGGCTCTGCAGTGTCGCAGGTCGCTTCCTGACGATGGGACGGGCAGAGGAGGAGGTGACGCGGCTGTGCCGGTGTTGGTGTCTCTGCCCCGGCCCTGTCTGTCCGCGTTGGCTGCCGGGCAGGGCCTGCCCGGTCCCTCGGCGGCTGTGGGGCCGCGCCGGGGCTCGGCCGGGCCGGGCTGGGGCTGCGCCCTGGCCGGGCTGCCTGTGTCACCTCCGGTACCCGGGCGGCTCTGGGCTCTGCTCTGCCCAGCTCATTCTACTCTGCTCCTACCCCAAACGCCCCTCCCAGTCTCTGGCTCAACCTCCCCTGGTGTTCCTGACCAGACAGTTTTCTTCACTTTGCAGTGACTGTCAGCAGACAGAAGTGATTCAGTTGGTGACACATCCTACACAGTCTCCACACTCAGGTCTCCAGTGTTGAACTAGTTTATTTTACCAATGAAGTAGTGCTGGTTTCTATGTTAAAAGAGTGGTTGAGTCCTTCTCGACACAGAATTTCCAGTTTGTAGCTTGTTGTTAGATTTAGAGCTCACCCCTGAGTTGTGTTTGACAACACACTAATTTTGCCTTGCTGTACAGAGACAGAATCAAGTGCTCAACACGGGGGAAATGTTTCCCAGTCCTTTACTTGTTTGATACCAAATGATCTGGGCCACCAGAATGGCTTTTGGTTTGTTGACAGAGACTGTGATGCTAGAAAAGCACACTAAATCAGCATCAAGCTGCTGCAGTCCGCACAGGGTCAGTTCTTAGCAAATCCCCCTGCACTCCAGGGTAACAAACGTGCGATCTCCAGCTCTGGAACGCTGTAGGAAGAGCATCCAAAGTAGCTGAGGTTCAAAGCTTTTGCTCTCGGAATTGGGGTGGAGGCAGTGTGGAGGAGCCTGTGAAACCCCTGCAGACGGCAGAGGTCTGCTCTGCTGCCTGACTGGACCCAGAGCTACCCTGCCATGCGTTTTTGAAGGAGTGGATAAAGCTGTGAAGATAAAAAGGGAGTTTCTTCTGCCTTCTTGGAAAGCCCTCAGCTGAGTGGGAGCGGTCACAGCAGGCTGTGCCAGCTGGGAGGTGCCACTGTCCTGTCACTGCTCACGCTGGGCTCCAGGCACTGGCACAGGCAGCTGCCTGCCAGCACTGCTGCTGCATTTGTGTCTGCAGCAGGGACAGGGAGGGAGCTCTACACCAGTGCTGAGGTTCCTTAATTATTCTGCATCTGGCAGGGCCTTGGAGAGGGCAGGAGGCTGTAAGGGAGAGCGGTGGCATGGCTGGTGGGAGCTGAACAGGGAACAACAAGCAGCTCCTGTGTGTCCATGACTTTGGCTGGGACACTGTTGTTCCCAGGAGCTGGTTCAGAGCTGTGTTTGGGTTCAGGATGAGGCTCCTGTTGATAAGAGCCTGATGGTTGAGCTGCTGCTGAGCAATGCTTACACTAAGCCAAGGACTTCTCAGGCAGTGAGGAGCTGGGAGGGGGCAGAGCCAGGAGAGCTGCCCCAGTGCCCAGAGGGATGTTGCAGAGCACAGGGCATGGTGCTGAAGGAAGCTCTGGGGGGATTTGGCTGAGGGGTGAGGGTCACTGCCCAGGGGCTGGCTGGGCATGGCTCAGAGGGTGATGAGCAAGCACCCTGTGCCTCACTGGCTTTGGATATTCCTTTATGGTTATTGTAACTTTCATTTTCTTTTCTATCCTGTTTATCTGAACCCACAAGTTTTGCCTTTTTTTCTGATTCTCTTCCCCATCCAGGGACTTGGAGCAACCTAGTCCAGTGCAGGGGTGGGACAAGATGAGCTTTAATGTCCCTTCCAACCCAAACCATCCTGCAACCCCACTGGGGGGTGAATTTCCAGTTTAACAATTAATTTCCCTCCGTTGCAGAGAGAAGAGAGGTGCAGGTCTCTCCAGTCCCTGATGCAGAGCAAGAGGTGAAGGGAGAAGGTGCTGCTGGACCTCCTTCCACCAAAACCACCTGAAACAAAGGAGACAGAGGGCGAGGCACTGATGGACAGAGCAAGAGCCCTGTCCAACACCACACCTGACACTGCAGGTGGATCTCCCAGCTCTGCTGTGACACAGAAGGAGGAAGAGGGATCCTCACTGATGGAGGATGTCACAGCTCCAGAGAACCACGCAGAGCCCTCGGCTCAGTGTGGGGCTGGTGACTCTGCTGAGGTGGCTTCTCCGCTGAGGAAGGTGAGGATCCTGCTGGGGAGCAGCTGGGACGTGTTGCTGTCATGTGTGAAGTGAGGAGGCCGGGCTGCATCCCCCACATCCCTTTGGCCACGTCGGGGAGCTGCTGCCTGGCTTCCTGCAGAAGCTGTGTTTGCTGTGTTGTGTGTGCAGTGCTGGGGGAAACCACAAATTACATGAGTCAGCTTAGACACTGCAGCGCTGCTCTGTGCTCCTGCTGAGCAAGTCTTGAATATTAAACCTACACAGTTCTCAAGAGTTCTTTGCATTTCACTGGCTGGTCTTGTCCCTCCTCTTTCTGATCATTCTCTGTTAGCCCCCGTGTAGCAGGAAGATGTCAGCACTTGCTGCAATGGAGGAGATGACAAAGAGTTTCCCTTTGGCAAGGAATAAACAGACTTTGTGGTCTTTGTTTTTCTTTTTTTTAATAGAAAAGGAAGAAGACTACAGCAAAGAAGTCCATCTCTGGGGAAGAGGACTCTCTGCCTCCTCAAAGCACAGCACCAGCTCAGACCACAGAGTTGCCTGACACAGGTGTTACTCCTCAAGAAATCCAACCCCCCGGAGGTGAGGGAGCAAGCCCAGGTGCTGATGGACATGCTGATGCCAGTGGAGACACACCTGGAGGCGACAGGGATTTGGCACACCCGGGGAAGGAAGCTGGCAGCCTGCAAGCAGAGAGGCCGAGCCCTGCAGAGCAGAGCAGCACAGCCAGGGAGGCTGCCCCAGCTCCCAGCACCGCAGCCCCTGGGGAAAAGGTGGGGGATGGAACAACGCCAGAACACGGAGGAGCAGCCAGGGGTGATGAGGAACGGGGCAGTGGTGCCCCTGGCCAGCTGTCAGCAGCCACAGCAGGTTCTCAGGCCCGGGCCAGCAGCAAGGAGCGGCTGTCAGCAGGGCAGGGAGCGAGTCCCTCTGCTGGGGGAGCAGTCCCTGGCAGTCCCAGGCTGCCTCCTGCCAAGGGAGCCCCCCAAAGCAAGCCTGAGACCAAGACCTCCCCTGGGGCTCAGAGCCTGCAGGCTGGGAAGGAGCCCAAGCAGAAAGGGGCCAGTTCCACTGTCAAGGTGAGTGTGAGTGAGCTCTGGTGAGTGTTCAGTGGGCACAGCTTCCCTTTGCCAGTGTGACCTGCTCGTGCTGTCAGTGAGGCTGAGGAGCACCAGCCCAGGCTTACAGGGATGAACTGGGGAGGACTATGGGGAGGCTCTAATTGGAGTCCTGTTCTCCTGGGTGTCAGTTCTAGCCCAGCTCTCACTGAGGGGTTGCTCAGATGCTCCCAGGCCTGGGAGGTGTCTCTTATCCAGCCAGCCATGCTCTCTGCAGAGCTCTGGGGTCACCTTGAATGAGGGGATTTTGTGCTTTGCAGGTGCCTGTGCTCTGCAGGCCTGGTAAGCTGGAAGGTGCTGTGGTTTCTCTTTCACTTTCTTGATGCCCCATCCTCTGGGACCTGGGGCTCACTGAGCTGGCTGTGTGGCAGTGTGTTTGGGTTGGGCTCTTCTTCCATCCTGGGCTGTTTTCCTTAGCCAGTGGCTTTCCTCAGTGAGGGATCAGTTGTTTCCAGTGCTTCCAGGAGGATGAAGCTGGTGGTGCACCAGTGTTGGGGGCAGATGGGGCAGTAGAGCAGAAAGTTCTGCACTGTTGATGGATGATGTGAGTATCTTGACTCTGGTGGGCCGGAAGCCCTGGGAACATCAAACAGAAGTGTAAGGGAGAAGTAAAAAGGAAATTGGCTTTGTTTAAAGGAAGTCATGCAAGACTGCAGGTGCAAGACTGTGGTTAGGCCGTGTAGCTAAGAAACATGAGTAATGTGGTTATTGCTCAGCAGTGAAAGATTTTGCCTAAGGCTGTAAGAGTATATAAACTGAGTTGTAGAAACAATAAGTGGCTTCTTGCTTGCACCAGAAGGAGATGCTGTACTCCAGTCTCCTGTTTCATTGGGCATTGTTTGTCTCTGTTGCAGAATGCAAACACAAAAGAGAAAAATCAGACCCCAAGTGAGAAGATGCCCAGTGTGAGTGAGAAGACAAGTCCAAGCCAAGGAGTTAGGGCTGCCAGGAAGGAGGATGCTGTGGCTGCAGCAGACAGCCCCAAGAACAAAAAGGAACCAAGGAACCAGAAATCTGTGGAAAATATTAAAGAAAGGTGAGAACAGCCCTGCTGCTCCCCAGCATTCCTCACTAACAGGAGCTGCTGTGAGGAGGACTCAGGACTCCAGATCGAGGTGCTGGGATTGGGTCAGTATGTACCTTGGACATGTGGAAATGGAATTGTTTTGAAACTGAGGTGAAGTGGTTGTGTATGACAGAACCAGTGTTGAATGGGAGCTGCAGCATGGGTGATGTGTTGAACCTGCTTGAGCATCTGATGGATAAAAAAGAGATTATTCTCTTATTTCTTGCTCTTATGAGCAATCTGTGCTTCACACACACAATGTTCAAGTGAGTAGTGTGAAGAGCTGTTTTGATGTTTTGCTTAATGTGTATGAGCTGGAAGGGGTTCAAAGTGTAGCCATTCCAGGTGATTCTGCTGGGCCAGAGCATCTCCTGCTGCCTTTAGGAGCCCATTTTTCCTTTTTGCACTGGGCTTTGCACTAGGCCTGCTCAAACATCAGTCTGAGTGAATTGCTGCCAGAGTTAATGGGTCTTGCAGCCACTCAGCTGGTGGCTCGAGTCTGATTTGAGGTCTGCAGTGATTTCTGCAATTTAAAAAACACCAACAGAATCCCTTCTGTTTCCCCTCCAATTCTGTCCTGCAGTTCTGTGAGCCGCAATGAGGGTGTTACAGTGTATTTCCATGCAATATTATCCAAAGACTTCAAGCTTGACCCCGATACCCACAAAGTGTTCATCAGGGCTCAGGGCATTCCTTCCTATGCCGACTGGAAGGACAACATCTGTGAGCTGAACTGCACCCGGTGAGTGTTCCCTGCCCTGAGAACAGGGTCCCTCTGGGGCCTGGGCCGCTCTGCAAGGGGTGGTGGCTCTGTGCCCACACCCGGGGGTTGCAGCAGAGGGTTCCACAATGGAGAAAACTGTTCTGAAGTGTTCTTGTGAAAGAACAGTCACCATTCCTATTAAAAATGGAGCAGCGCATGAAAAAGGAGGTCTGTAGATCAGCTAATGTGTTCTTTACCTGCCTTTGCTGTGTTTGTGTTTCCAAGGCATCTGGAGGAACATGGATACCTCATTGAAGGTGCTGTAACTCTCAGCAGAGAAATCCTGGATGAATACATTCCTTACAAGTACTGGGTGTTCTGTGGGAAGGGGGAGTACGAATTCATTTACAAGAAATCAGAATCCAATCACCACGTGAATCGCTGCTTATTGATAAACAGGAGACTTCTCAACAATGGAGGTGAGCTCTGCTGGCTGGACCTGCACCTTGGGCTGATCCCTGCTCTCCTGTGGCCCAGCATTCCTGGCAGGCAGCCCTGTCTGAACTGGCAGCTCAGTGGGCTGCTGGGGGTATTGCTGAGGCACCTGATTGTAATGGTTGTTTTCCTGTGTTCTCCCTGTGTTGCTGCTCCAGAGTGGCACCAGTACGATGACATCGTGTGTGTAAAGCCTTCCAAGTTCAGAAACTTCCGGCAGATCTTTACTTTTGATAAAAACAAGGAAGTGGTGGAAGGGAAGAAAATAGCTGCCAATATTATGTTAGAAAGTATCTTCAGCATTCTTGGAACCTGGAGTCCTGACAATCTGAGGAATTTCTTCTGCCAGCTGAAGCAGTTCTATTATGTTGCAGTAGCCCAGCGGGTGTTTGAAGGCAGGCCAATGCCATGGATAGAGTTAAATTTTGGCACAGAGCAGGTAATCTCCCTTCTCTTGCACAGAGACAGAAGACATTCTGTTGCTGAACACAAACCTTAATTTTGCTGTTGACCTCGCTGGGTTCATTTTGCTTTTCCAGTCAAAAAGCAGTGGGGATCCTTCTGGGGTGGCTGTCACTGACTGCCTTGGGGGCTCCAGCCAAACCTGTGCACCTCAGGGTGGTTCTGAGACCCCATGGGGGTCAGCAGCAGGGCTGTGACGTGATGCCTTTGTACCTGAGTGGGTTTTGTGTCTGGATATTGATTTCCTAAGCCTTGCCATTAAGTTTTGCCACACGTTAAGTTCTGTCACTAACAGCTTCTCTGTACTCATCTCTTGCTCCAAACCTTGGAGCTCCAAACCTGTACTCATCTCTTGCTCCTGCTTTTTGGGAGAAGCTCCTGATCCTGTTCTAAGCAGTGATGCCAGTAAGGCTTCTGTAATTCAAAATTTCTTACTTGACATAATTAGGAAATGTGACAGAAATGACACATTGTCTTTTTTGGTTCTCGGGGCTGCTCCTTCCTGTCCTGTGGCCTCTCTGGAACTGGCAGAAGATGTTGGCTTCAGAAGAGAAAGACTAATGCTGTGCTTGATTTGTTTCTTCTCTTCTTTGTCCCAGGTGAATGATTTGCTGCTAAAATACATGAAGAAAATAGCTCTCCCTTTCCTTGCACCAGAAGCAGCTCCAGAAGACAGAATCATCCAAAGCAAACTGGCTCTGGGGCTCACCATTCTTGTGGTAGTTGAGAACCATTCACTCGTAGTACCTAAAAGTGACCTGGCTGAACTGTGCAGCCTCTTGTGCTTGGATCAGGTGTCACCACAAGATCTCCAGGATGAGATTCATCACATCAAACTGGCTTTTGCAGGAGTTACCAAGTAAGTGCTCCATGTACCTTCTAACTGACAGGCTGGTGTTGCTTTGATAAAACAACAGCTCTCTACTACCAGAGAACCAGAGAAAAAGTTACATTTGAAGGTATCTTTGGAGGACTCAGTTCCAGCCTCCTGTTTGAGGCAGGCCTAGCATCCAGGCAAGGCTGCAGTGCACCATTCCACACTTTTTGGTTGGTTTCCTCTGGAGTGCCTGTTTGCCAGGTTGTAATCTGACTGCTTAGCTGGCACTGGATTTGGAGTTCTTCACTCACACGGCTGCAGCCATTGCATTTCTTTCTGGAGTCCTTATCTGTGTGGGTGTCACAGGGCTGGGGGGGGCTCATGGGGAGACTGTAGCTCAAGGATTGGGTCTTCCCAGTGCTCCAGTAGCAGGATCTGTGCAGAGAGATTCAGTAATATTGCAGCTCTGGCCCTTAAACCTGGGCAGCTACACTCTGCAATGAAAAGTAGATGGAGCTAAAATAATGACCAGAGGTTAATTAAAGGCACATAGGGAGATTGAAAAGTAGCCTCCCACACCCCTAGGGTGTTCTCAAGGCTGGGATAAAGCTGTTCTTTCACTCAGTGTGTTTGTTTTGTTTTCTATTTTTATTTAGCTTGAAGGTCGACCTGACAAACTTGTGCCAGTGGTGCATTGAACGTGACATAGACCAGTGGGTGTGGGTCCTTCCCCTCCTGCATTCCTTTGCTGCTCCCCTGCAGCAGCAGCATGGGCTGGTGGAGGAGGATGCCTGGGCAGGGCTGGAAGGGCTTCCATTTGCTGAAATCAGGAGGAAGCGAGATGCGTGAGTTTTCCAGATCTCCCAGTTCTTCCCAGTGCCCTCCTCATCTCTCTTTTTTGTTGTTTTCCCCCTCCCTAATTTTTAAAGAGTGTGAAATGTATCATGTTGAGGGAGGATGGGGCATTTGGGCACAGCCACACTGGTGGCTCAGAGGTCAGAGTGTAGCTCAGCTGGGCACGGTGTGACCCCTCAAACACAGCCCCCAGTTCTGCCAGCCAGGGAGCAGGTGGGAGCTAAAGTTGCTCCTGTTGTGTAGAGTCTGACCAAGACCTGGAGTTCCTTTTCCCTGGGTGCTTGTGCTCAGTGGTTTGGTTCTGCTGTGCCACCCCAGGGCCTTGGGGACTCCCACTGATCTCAGCTGCAGGGACAAAAGCGCAGGAATGAGGAGGAGACTCCTGTGTGGGCTGCACAACCTTGTTTTCCCTGGAATCCTGAAGATTTTGTTTTATCTCCCCTCCAGAGGCACCCTGCTGGAACGAATGAGAGAAAAGAAGCACTTGATGGAATTTGATGGGACTCTGGTCAAGTCCTGGCTCTGTGTGCTGCCCCTGGGGAGCCTGGCTGAGTTCATAAGAGACTTCTCCAGTGACCTGTTAGTTACTCTTCAAGGTGTTCTGTACAGGTTGGAGAATGTTGACCTCTCGTGGAGAAGCTCTCAGGTTTGTCTTCTGGCAGCTTTACCCAGCTCTGGGATGAAGGCTCAAACTGAGCATCACTGAGGGGACTGGGGCTGGCAGCAGGTCACAGCACAAAGAGCTTCAAACCTAGCTAAGAGCAAAAATAGTTGCTCTGGAGTCAGAGACTCCTCAGGGGAAGAGTTGGGGGTTTATGTGCAGCAAGAAGTGGTGTTGGCATTGATGAGGGGAGGGTGTTCTTAGCTGGATTTGCTCTTGGTTAGTGATGGCAAATATTTCATTCTTGACCTCGTCAGACAGGTACTTGAAACTGTTTTTTGCACAGGAGGGTTGGACAAGGAGCTGCTGGTTTGGGAGATTTTCCTGCTGTTGTGAAAACTCTTGTATTGTTGTGAGGACAGCAGGAGTAAGACCTTGCAGCTAATAATAGATTTGAGACTTCCAAATTGTAAGAAGTGCAGGTTGGGTTTGTGCATCTAAAAGCTGCCCAGGTATTGGCTCTGACATCCAGTAAATAAGTTCTGCTATTTTACAGTGTATTTGTAAAAACGTTGGAGAAGATGCAAAAGAATAGTGAGTTCCCTCTTCCTCAGCTAATCAGAGTTTCTTCCACAGTTTCATATTTTTGTCTTTCCAGTCTCAGGTAGAGAAGATTCTAAACACAGTGCTGCAGGCCTTGGATGAGCTCCCAGCCAGGTAAGTGCAGTGCACCTCTGTGAGAGCATTGTCTGCCTCTGCACCAGGGCTGGGGTCCTGCTTGTGTGCCTTGACATCTCTGTGGAGAAAAGAATCCTGGAGTTCTATCCCATTTTTTAAATCCAACTGAGGGAAGCAGCTGCCACACAGTGTTGAATTTGGTGGGGTTTTTACTTTAATTTTTTATTTTTCCTCAGAGCAGAAAATTAACTCTCCCTCTGTGTTGCTGCCCTGCAGAGCTCTGGGGGCTCCTTCTTGGCGGTGCTGCTTGTCCTGCTGCCTCAGGCTGCACGAGAGGCTCTGCAAGGCTACCAGGACAGTGGGGTTGTTCCTGATCCCTGCCACTGCTGCCACCCTGATTGCCAAGGTTGCCCAGCTTCAGCCCCCAGCAGTGAGTACCAAGGAACTCTTGGCTTGATACAAGCAAGAAATGTCACGAGTGTGGCACAACACACTGGGTTTAGGTCAGATCCAGTCTCTGAAGAAGTTCACACTCTAAGCAAGACTGTGATACTTTCAGACAGGTGTGGAGTCACCTGATGAGTTTGGTTCTTATTGAAAATAAGGTCAGATGCTCAGGTTTGCCGTGATAAGCTTTGTTTTAAGTCTGGTTTTGTTTCCCTTTAAACATTTGTTATCTTTACTTCCTGGAACAAGCTTAAGCACAACCTGCCTGTAAGCAGTGCACTTTCCCAGCCTCTGCTCTTTATTCAAGCAGTGCTGGGTCTGTTGCTGGGCTCTTGTGTGTTCTGGATGTGTTTGGGCCTTCTCTTTAGAAATACTGATGTAAATCAGTTATCTATTGCTGTCCTGCTTGAACTGTGTTTATTTTGTTGTCTTCCCCTCTGTGTGGAGCAGGTTCCAGGGGATGCTGTGCAGGAACTTCCAGAATTGCTCCGTGGAGCTCTGAGGGAAGCTCGAACCTGGTTCAGAAATGTTTTAAAAGAGAAATTACTGAAGGAGTACCCGGACCACGTGGCCTTCTCTTTGTTTGAACTTCGGGTTTGTCATCTTCTGCTAATGTCAGTACAAAGGGGCTTTACTGTAGCTTAGCCAAGGTCTTGAGTCTGCTGGCTCTTTGCTGGGCTCTGCAGCTGTGGCTGGGTAAGGAATGGGGTGGGCATGGGCAGTGTTTGAGGTGCACCTCCGTTCTGCTCATCCTTGGCTTTTCCTAAAGGCATTGCTGGGGTGAGGAGCTGCTCCTTGGTGTTGTCTTGCTCCCAGTGTGTCCCGCGGGTTGTCCTCAGGCCTTCCAGCAGGCAAAGCTCAGAGCAGCTCTGCCACTCTGAGCTGCTGCTCCCAGCCCTCCCTGGGACAGTTTCCAGCAGCAGGGTGGAAGTGCCTCATCCAAAAGTCTCTTGTAGCAGCTGAGACATTTACACACTGTTTGGGCTTAAAAGCTGCCTTTTGCAGCTCTGGGAGTGTTGCTTTTCCTCAGGATGGAAACATCTGGGAGGGCTGCAGACTGTCTGAGACATGTGGGGCATCTCTTCTACATTGTTCTTTTAATTTTCTTTCTCTGTTAAGTCTCAGCATTCAGTGGTTTGAGCTGGTTTGCTTTTCCCCTGCAGGCCTGGAATAAGTTTGTGACTATCAGCTTTCCAGATGAGCGGTTCACCCAGATGTGGAAGAACACTTTACTTGCAGATCTGAAGAAAAGAATCCAGCAGGTAGGGGAGACTCCAGGCAGCCTTGGCTGGTGTCCAGAGCAGATGGAGTGACTTGTGCTCTGCTTGGAGCAGGAGCACGTGCAAACGTGGTGGCTTTGCACATAACAATTGCCATTGCTGTTATGAACCAGGTTCTGGAGGCTCAAGAATTGGCCATGACAATGTCCCACACTGTAACCTTGGTCAGAGGCCTGGCTCTAGGTGCTGGTGCTTTAGAGGAAATCCACATTGTGAACAATTGTCACCTCTGTGGTTTTAAGAACCAGAGAGTGCAAAGTAAACACCCAGGTGCTTAGAGAAGCCAAGTTGGTGCCTCTGTTTTCGTTCCTTGTGCAGAAATGGTGCTGCTCGGGCTCCCAAGTGCACACCAATGTGTGTAAGTCCCTTCCAAACTAACAATGTATATCTCATCTCCTTTCTACAGCAGTCACACATTTCTTTAAGCCATTGATTTTCACAGTGAAATCAGGAAACAAATATTTTCTGCTGTGAGCGTGGCTTATGAGAAGTTCTCACAAGTTATTGGCACACAAAAATGCTAAAGAGTTGGCCAAGTGAATGCATCCAAATGGCTTTTGTTTGCCCCACAGGGTTTGGGTCTGGGCTCTCTATGGGAAGTTTCCACGTTGCTGACCTGGGATTGTGGTTTTGTTCAGAAAAATGTGAGGGGCTGGAGGGTGGTGTGAGTCCACAGGCTCTTGGAGGGGGTGAGGTGGGGTTCAATAGGAAATTGAAGGACTCTGTGCCATGGTGTGGAAAAGTTCCTGATTTTGCCTGTTTTTGGGGGAACATGACATGCTTTGTGTCTGGAACAGGAACAAACAGAAACCTGCTGGACAAGCTCACAGATGAAGCAAAGGATGTTATGGCCATAGCAGATTCTGTGCTTACGAGTGTCACTGACAACATCCACAGCGGCTGCATCCTCGTGAAACACCTGGAGGAGGTTTTCCAGCACAAGGAGCACTTCCTCTGCATTTGGGAGACAAGTAAGAGATGGGTTCAAAGGGGCATGGTTGGCTGAGAGCATCACTGTGGTGATGCTGGCCTGCTCAGGAGGGGCTGCAGGGGTTGGGGATGCTCAGGAAGTGTTGCACCAGTTTGGAGTGCTGTCCCTTGGTCTGGGCAGGGAGCTGCCAGCTCCAGTTTGTGTTGTCACTGCAGGGTTTGTGGCTCTGCAGTTCCCAACCCGAGTTGGGGTGCAGGGCTTGGGAAGCATCTGCTTTGTCATTACAGGTGAGTTTTCTTTCAGAGCACCAGCAACGATCAAGTGAGGAAAAGGAACTGCTCCAGAGAAGCCTGAAAGAACTGCTGGCATTGAGGCATGAAGAAGTTGCACAGCTCAGAAGAGAGGAAAAAGCAGTGGGAACCTTCCTGAGCATGTGCAGGAAGGTGCAGAAGTCTGTGAGAGGTAGAGTTCTGGGGGAGCAGTCTGAAAGTGGCAACTCCAGAAAAGAAGCATTTTCCTTGAAAATCTCTTGGCTTTGGGAGCAGGTTTGATTCTAAGCCCCAAAGTGAGGGTGAGGAGGGGTGGGGGAAGTAAACCCAGAGCACTGAGGGGATCAAGTGAGTGCTTGTGCATCAGTTGACACTTGGAGGGGTCCACCTGCCTGGTAGCATTTTGTGGCTTGGGGGATGGGATGAAATGAGCTGCAGGCAGGCTGCACCACCTGATCTCCCTCTGACCTGTCTCTTGTTTACAGTGAATGTAGGTGAAGTGGAATTTCAACACTCAAAAGATCTTGGCTCAAAAAGACTGAATCAAGTGGTGGTAGTGGGAAGGAAGCCCCTGCAAATCTTCTACAGCCTGAGCCCAGAGCTGAAAGAGTTTGTCCACAGAATGCACTCCTTTAAGGACAGCGTGATATTCCAGCAGTTCTGGGAGGAAGCAGCACAGAAGGCAGGAGAGGAGTATGTGTGTGACAGTCCAGAGGAGGATGAGGATGAGGAGGACGAGGAGGAGATTGCTCCAGAGCTGGACCTTGATGATGCTTTGAACAGCGTGATCCGCCCTTGCTTTGACAGCTATACAATGCTGTATGATGATCTCAGATCAGGAAATCTCACACTTTCTGCAGTGGATAGAATTTTCCAGGAGTTCACAAATCATCCTGAAGATCTCGGGGTGGAGCTGAACACCATCTGTGGGCTTTGGCCTGCAGAGGACAGAGGCTGGGTTGACCAGCGAGTCCAGCAGATCCAGCAGTACCATGAAATGCATTTAACCTTTGATGCTGCCAAGATCATTGCCCATGTCAAAGAGAGTTTAGGCCTCTCTGGTGACTTCAGTATCTTGGAAAACTTGTTGCACATAGTAAGTATCCCTGATTTTGGCTCTGTACTGTCAGGGTGTTGGCTAAATTTGAACCTTCCCACAAATCTACCCGTTTTTCAAAAGCTGTTCCTTGAACCAGAATGCTTATTTGAGGTAAAAATCAAATGTTCCAAGTGCTTTTGTGTAGTCATTCCATAAAGGGAGATTATGATACTGATCTCTTGGGATGTGGCTTTGCAGAGGGCTTTCCTTTCCCTGCTGCAGAACCAGTGGCATTTCCCAATTCCAGACTCGGTGTGTATTTGCACTTGCTTTCCAGACAGAAAAGCTTGAATCCTACAAGACCCAAAAGCTGGATTCCATCAGCCCTGAGCTCGTGCAAGCCAAGAAGCTGCTGCAGGGGATCACTGTGCCCCGCCGAGGCTGTCTGAAGGAGCTGGCCCAGCAGAAGGAGTTTGTCTGCTGGGTCAGAGAAGCACTGAAAGGTGTGTGCTGCTCACCCAGGAACTGGAGACTACTTGAAAGGATGGCAGCTTGTGTGGGGAAAGAAGGAGCACTGAATCCCTGACCCCTCTGCTTAGTGCAGCTTCTGGTGTTGAGAGTTACATCGCTGATGGGTTTTGGTGTGGAATGTGCGAGGAGGACATTTTACATGTGCCCATGCACTGTTGCAGCACACAGAGACCACCCTGCTGGAAGCTGGGCTGGGCCTGGAGGGCTTCAGCAGCTGCTGCTGCTCAGTTCAGACCTGTTGTTTCAGGGGATGCAGTTGTGTGTCTGCCAGCTGAGCTGTCTGACCTGCACAGACACCCTCACTTGCACACAGTCCCCAGGCACTGCTCCCATCCTGACTGGCGCTCTGGGGGTCCATAGATGGATGGATGGCCAGGGAGAGCTGATGGGGAGAGGGCAGTTCCACAGGAGCTGCTGTTCAAAGCATTCTCCCTGCAGTTCCTGTCGAGGGTGGTGATGAGGGCTGGTGTCAGAGCTGCTGTTGCTCACTCTCACGTTGCCTCCTTTCAGACATAAACGAGCTGAAGGTGTTTGTTGACCTGGCCTCCATCTCGGCGGGGGAGAACGACATGGACGTGGACCGTGTGGCCTGTTTCCATGGCACTGTGCACGGCTACTCCTCCCTGCTCTACGAGCTCCGCCAGGACTCGGGCTTCGAGGACTTCATGCGCTGCTTGCAGAAGCTGTGGCGAGCCCTGGACAGCGATGAGACCCTCCCTGAGAAACTGGTGAGTTCTGCTGCAGCAGGGCCTCTTCATCCTCCTGCCTTTCTGCCTTCCAGGAGTGGCTGGAAGTTGGACTGCACAGGGCAAATGGCATCTGCAGCTCTTGTTATTGGAGGAAAACCAGCTGATGTTCCTGCAGCACAAAGATTCACTGTAGCTGGTGTAGCACAGGTTTCTCCAGGGCACTGTGAGGCTTTCCAGTGTGGTGTGTGGCTTGGCTCCTGCAAGATGGACTGTGGGGAAGAGGGGAGGCAAATGCCTGGGACCTCTTATCCTTTTGCAGCAGGGCCTGCTTCTGCAGCAAGAGGTGTTGAAGCTCTCTTCAACCTCCCATGGAGTGGGTAAGGAAGAGCTGTGCAGAAAGAGCAGGCTGAAACCAGTACTCATTCCTTTCTTCCTTCTCCATGATGAAACTCTTGTGCCAGCCCGAGCTGTTGGTCCTGGTCAGGTGTAAGCAGGGATCAGATTTCACAGCAGTGTGGTGTCTCCTCTCCCCACAGCGTGCCTCGGCTCAGCACCTGGAGTGGCTGAAGACAGTGAAGGAGAGCCATGGCTCTGTGGAGCTGTCCTCGCTGTCCCTGGCAGCTGCCATCAACAGCAGAGGGGTCTATGTGCTGAGGGCACCAGCTGATGGCCAAAAGGTGAGGCTGAGGTCACTCAGCTCCTGCTGCCCCTCCTGCCTGGGGGCTGCTGCCCTGGCCTCAGGCAGAGCCTCAGCCCCAGCCATTCTGACAGCTCCTGCTCTTGGCAGGTCTCCTTGGACAGTGTCCTGCGCTTCACCCTCCCGGGGAGCTCGGGGGACACCGAGGCCTCCTGGAAGTACTCGCTGGCAGAGCTCCGTGAGCTGCAGAACAAACTGATGCTCATGTCAGCCAAGGGAGAGCAAGGCCTGGAGGTGGAGAGGTTCTCTGAGGTCAGATTCCAAACCCTGGGGGTTACTGGTATTGGGGGCCAGGGCTGGGTTTTCTCTTGAGTATAAGCTTTTAAGGCTGTGGTTGACAGTGGAGTTTCTGGGGGTGGTGGTCACAGGCACATGGGTGTTTCTGCCTTTGGTTTCTTGCTAAGGTGGAACTAAGCTGGAGACAGAACAGTGAACTGGTGGCCTTATCCTCTGGCTGCACTGGGGATTGTCCTGGCTGGCAGCATCAGTGTAATTTTGTAGCAAGCTGGGAGTTCCTTACTGGTTTCCTGGGGATGCTGCTGTAAAAACGTCACAGAGAGTCTGTGGCTGCTGTGCAAGGTCTGACACACCTTGAGGCCAAAGACTTTCTCTTCATTGAATGTCTTTCCAGTGGTTTCGTGGCTGAAACTTGTAAATCAGCTTGTTTCTCTCTCCTCTGTCCTCATACAGGTCTTTTCCAATGTCCAGAGGCTTGCCCAGGCCTTTATAGACCTGTACTCAGCTGGGAACATGCTTTTCCGCTCCTGGCTCGCCCAGGTGTATTGTTCACCCCACAAAGAATCCTGTGTTTTTATAGACTTCTCCCTGGGCCCCATCCCAGTGCTGGAAGGGCAAGGGGATATGGCAGCTGTGCTCCCAGCCCTCTGCAAGACCATGGAGAGCTTCCTGGAGAGCTGGAAGAGCTTCATGAATGCCAAGCGATGTGAGCATTTCTACCTGAACTACTACAGCGCGGAGCAGCTGGTGTACCTGTGCTCAGAGCTGGGCCGGGGCAGCCCCAGCCAGGCTGCCCTCATGATGCTCTCCTTCCTCAACCCCCACTGCACTGAGCAGGACGTCCTCACAGCCCTTGGGAGCCAGGGGCCTCCCAGCTCAGGCCAGGCTGTTTCTGACTTCCAAGTGCTGCTGGATGGGGAGAGGGACCTGAGCGCCCGGCTGAAGTGTATCTGGGAGTGCTACATGAGCAACATGGGCTCCTTCCTCCCCAACTGCCTGGACATGGACACACTGGGCGTGTGGCTGAAGAACCTGGCCAGCAGTGGCAAGGAATGTGTCACCAGAGACTTCCCTCAGGACCTGCTCTGCGTGGGCCAGCCCAACCTCATCACCTGCCCTCGCTCCGAGGTGCTCAGCTCTGCCCTGGCCATTTACATGAACAGCCCCGAGCAGCCCCTTCCCACCTTCGATGAGGTGCTGCTGTGCACGCCCCAGACCAGCGCAGAGCAGGTGGGGCTGTTCCTGCGCCGGTGCCTCATTCCCTGCCAGGGGGGGAGCAAGATCTACACCATGCTCTACGCGGATGAGCTGAGCTACGACGTCAGCTGCAGGGCAGAGGAGCTGTTCCAGCACCTGAAGTGCTACAACAGCTCCTACAGGCTCATCATCCTGTGCAGCTGCGAGCGGGACACCAGCTACCTGCTCTCTGCCTTCAGCCACTACAAGGTGCACATGATTCCCCAGAGGTCACAGGCAGAGATCCAGCAGTACCTGCAGCACCACTTCCGAGTGGCTCAGCCCTCCAACTCGGCTGCAGCCGTGTTCAAGGAGCACATGTGTGTTGGGATTGTGTCCTCCAAAAGAGCTGGCATGGGTAAGATGGCATGTGCAGGGTGGCTTCTGCTGAGAGCTCAAAACCAGGGTGGGGTTCACCTTGCCAGCTTTTGTGTCCAAGATTTAAGTATCTTGGTCAAAAAAAGCAATGCAGACTGGTCAGTGCAGGGAGGTGAAAGCTGGAAGTCACCTTGTCCCCTGGTTTGACTTTAGAAACAAGCACAAAATAGAATAGATTCAAGTCCTAATAAAGAGTAAAGCTTCTCTCAGGCAGTGGATGGAAAACAAACCATGTGGATAACAAGAGCACTATGTGGGATTCCAGGCTCCAGCTACTCAAACCAGATTTAGACTTTCTTCTGGAATGCCTTTTAGGAAGCTCCAGAGGTTTTAGGGCATAGGATAGTTAAGCATTTTATTTCCTTCTGTCGATTATGGTCTTAATGTGATATATCTCATATTGATTGCTTTAATTCTTGTGAATGTTTTTAATAACAGGGAAATCTCTGTATGTGAAGAGGCTGCATGAGAGACTGCAAGAAGAGCAGCCTGACTGCACAGAACTTCTGAAAACCATCAGACTGATTGAACCAGAAGTGGATGAAGATAAAGTGCTAAAATCTCTCCTGCCTTTTCTGAAGAGAGAACACCAGACAAAGCCCATGATATTCCATTTTGATATCACCTCCTCAGTGAGTACATCCCTCCCTCCCACAGCTGCCTTGTCCCACAGGTCCTGTGTAGACCCTTGCAGGAGCTTTCTTTAAAGCTCTTGTTTCTCAACCAGCCATTTCCCTAGCGTGTGTTCTCTCATTATTGTGTAAGTAACACAAATACCATAAAGGTGATTGAACTCTGGAGCAGTTGCCCAGAGAAACTGTAGAGTCTCCACCTTGGAGACATTAAAAACCTGACTGAATGTGGCCCTGGGAAGCCTGGTCTAGCTGGGCCTGCTTTGAGCAGAGAGGCTTCCCACCCTCAACTGTTCTGTGCTTCTGTGCAGTTGTGATGGGTAAATAAAGAGGAAGTGCCTTGCTCTCTCTTCTTGTGATAGGTGCAGCGTGGAATTCCAGAGTTTCTCTTCAAGCTGTTGGTTTTGCAGTACCTGACAGATAATAATGGCAACATGTGGCTACGGCAGAAGTGTCATCTGTACATCATTGAAATCCTGGAGGTGTCCCCAGTGCCAAAGACAGCAGCCAGACCTGTATGTACCAGCAATGCTCCTTTTCTGGCAATTTCTCAGTCACTTTGCACATAGCTGTGGTGAGTTGTAGAGACTGTAACTGTAAACACAGCACAGGAGTTCCCTGTTTCATTGGGGGTGTGCTGTATCCCATAACAATCTAATGTCCCTGGTGTTGTACAAAGTGTCACTAACACCAGACAGCAAATTGGGCCTGCCTGGTGTCCTTGGGTTGATGATTTCTGAAGGCACATTAGTCCAAGCTTCACTGCCCCCACTGTAACATTTATAGGAAACATAAAAATGCAAAATATAATCTTCCTTGTGTTAATTTGCATGTTTGAAAATAGGCAAATATTTATATGCAGCTGTAAGAATAGAATGTAAAAGTGACTGGAATAAATACCAGCAGTTTCTTGGGTTTAGTTTTCTTTGAAGTAGCCCAGAGAAGGGGCTGGAGGTGATGCCAGACTCATGTTCCTGGAAGGAAAATGTAGGAGGGAATAGGATTTCTTGGTGCATTTTAAGTGGAAGAAGGGATGCACAGAGAAAAGGCTGGCCCCTGTTCCTCAGTTCTGTGGTTTTAGGCAAGGAGACTGTTAAGAACAGATTAAATAAGCTGATGAAGAGTGAGCTCTGAGATGACCTTTTATTTTCTTTTTCTCCAGATGTCAGTGAGCCAGAAGTATCACTTCTTGGATGTGTTCCCTAAAATAACGTGCAAGTCTCCCAAAGAAGTGCTAGAAATGGAGACACTTGGGAACAGTTCTGGGGATGTGGGAATGGACAAGGAGGAATTTTGCAGTGAGGCTTTCCAGAGACCCTTCCAGTACCTGAAGAGGTTTGACCGGGGCTGTGACCTGGACACGTTCTGGTACGAGGCGCTCTCGGTGGAAGGCAGCCCTGCAGAATGCCTGCAGCTCTTCCTCCTGCACTGCGGGGTCATGGATCCCTCCTGGGCAGAGCTCCGCAACTTCACCTGGTTCCTCAACATTCAGCTGAGAGACTGCGAAGCCTCTGTCTTCTGCAACCCTGACTTTGTCCAAGACACTTTGAATGGCTTCAAGAACTTTGTGGTTGGCTTCATGATTTTAATGGCGCGGGATTTTGCGACGCCCTCCCTGAGCATTTCCGACCAGAGTTCAGGAAGACGATCCTCCCACCTGGAGAACGTCGCCGAGGAAGATCTGCTTCCTTTCCGCATCAGGAAGAAGTGGGAGTCAGAGCCTCATCCCTACCTGTTTTTCAATGAGGATCGTGTGTCCATGACATTCATTGGTTTCCACTTCCAGCAGAACGGGAATCGCATTGATGCCATCAATCCTCTGAACGGGAATGTCATCAAGAAGGACATCATGACTGCCCAGCTCTACCGGGGCTTGTTACTGCAGAGGGTTCCCTTCAACGTGCCCTTCGATCAGCTGCCCCGCGAGGAGAAGCTCGAGAGGCTCTGCATGGTGCTGGGGCTCCCCTGGGTGTTTGACCCCGATGAGACATACGAGCTCACCACAGACAACATGCTGAAAATCTTGGCCATCGAGATGCGATTCCGCTGCAACATCCCAGTGGTCATCATGGGAGAAACAGGCTGTGGGAAAACCAGGCTGGTGAAGTTCCTGTGCCAGTTACGCAGAAGCTTTGTCGAGGTGGAGAACATGAAGCTTGTCAAGGTTCATGGAGGTACCACTGCAGAGATGATCTATGCCAGGATCAGGGAAGCAGAAGCCCTGGCTAAATCCAACAAGGAGCAGCATGGGTTGGACACTGTTCTGTTTTTTGACGAAGCCAACACGACAGAGGCTGTGAGCAGCATCAAGGAGGTTCTGTGTGACCGCACGGTGCAGGGGCAGCCTTTGGCGTCTGGCTCTGGCCTGAGGATCATCGCAGCCTGCAATCCCTACCGGAAGCACACAGACAGGATGATCCAACGCCTGGAGCTGGCTGGGCTGGGCTACCGGGTGAAGGCCGACGACACCCGGGAGAAGCTGGGATCCATCCCGCTGAGGCAGCTCGTGTACCGCGTGCACGCGCTCCCGCCCAGCATGATCCCCCTGGTGTGGGACTTCGGGCAGCTCAACAACTGCACGGAGAAGATGTACATCCAGCAGATCGTGCAGCGCGTGGCGGAGCAGCTGCCCATGGCCAAGGACGAGGTGAGGATGATCACAGAGGTGCTCTTTGCCTCCCAGCAGTACATGAGGCAGAGGGACGATGAGTGCAGCTTCGTCAGCCTGCGGGACGTGGAGCGCTGCATGGAGGTGTTCAAGTGGTTTTACAGGCACAGCCACGTGCTGCTGAGGGAGCTGGAGAAGTACCTGGCCGAGAGGAAAGCTCCCAAGGGCGGCAGTGACAGAAACGGTGTCATCTGGTCCTTGGTGCTGGCGGTCGGGGTCTGCTACCACGCGTCCCTGGAAAGGAAGGAGCCATACAGGACTGCCATCAGCCAGGTCCTCCCAAAGCCTTATGATACCCAGAAAAAGATTTTGGAAGAAATCACCCTGATGCAGGACTTATTCCTGAGTGGAGTGCCACTCCGGGATACCATAGCAAGGAACTTGGCCTTGAAGGAAAATGTCTTCATGATGGTCATCTGTATTGAGCTGAAGATCCCTCTTTTTCTGGTCGGGAAGCCTGGGAGCTCCAAATCCCTGGCAAAAACCATTGTGGCTGATGCTATGCAGGGCCAAGCAGCTCATTCTGATCTGTTCAAGGACCTGAAGCAGATCCATCTCGTGTCTTTTCAGTGCAGCCCTCTCTCCACTCCAGAGGGAATCATAGGCACTTTCAAGCACTGTGCTCGATTCCAGGAAGGGAAGAACTTGGAGGAGTATGTATCAGTGGTGGTTTTGGATGAGATTGGGCTGGCAGAAGACTCTCCCAAAATGCCCTTGAAGACTTTGCATCCACTTCTGGAGGATGGCTGCATAGACGATGTCCCTCTTCCTCACAAAAAGGTTGGCTTCATTGGGATTTCCAACTGGGCTTTGGACCCTGCTAAGATGAATAGAGGCATCTTTGTGTCTCGTGGGGACCCCAGCAGAGAGGAGCTCATCGAGAGCGCAAAGGGCATTTGCTGCTCGGCACGAGGGGCTCTGCAGAAGGTCGAGCAGTATTTCCATCACTTTGCAGATGCATATGAAAACATTTGCAAGGCCCAAGACAGGGAGTTCTTTGGCCTGCGTGACTACTACAGCCTCATAAAGATGTTTTTTGCCTTAGCTAAGAGCTCCAAAAGCGAGCCCACACCTCAGGACATCGCCGAGTGCAGCTCTGTAGCAGGCCAGGGGGGCAGTGCAGCTCTGCAGCAGGCCAGGGGCACAATGCAGCTCTGCAGCAGCCTAGGGGGGCAGTGCAGCAGCTCTGCAGCAGGCCAGGGGCACGGTGCAGCTCTGCAGCAGCCCGGTGGGGCAGTGTAGTGCAGCTCTGCAGCAGTCAGGGGCACAATGCAGCTCTGCAGTAGCCCAGAGGGGCAGTGCAGCTCTGCAGCAGGCCAGGGGACTCTGCAGCAGGCTGGGAGGCACAGGAGCTCTCCAGCAGGCTGTGGGGCAGTGCAGGAGGCCGGGGTGACAGTGCAGTGCAGCTCTCCAGCAGGCTGTGGGGCACTGCAGCAGGCTGGCACCCTGTGAGCACAGGTGTGCTGCATTGCTGCCCCTCTCTCTCCAGGTCACCACCTTCTCACGGCTGCTCACCAGTGCTGACGCTGCCTGCCTGGAGAGAGAGGTGCAGGGCAAGGCCCAGAGGCCCCAGATCCTGTTCCTGCAGCAGTTTGACACAGAGTACTCCTTCCTGAAGGGCATCCGGTGAGGCTGGGCCGTGTTTTCCTGCTGGGAATGGGCTGTCAGCTGTGTGCAGGGTGTGTGGGCAGAGCGTTCAGAGTAGCACATATGGAAAAGGGAGCTGTGCTGGCAGTGGGCTGGCTCTGCCCAGATATCTGCTGATAAGGGACAAACCTTGTCAGCTCCATCACATGAGATGGGGTTTGGTGGTTTTCTCTTTCCTCCTGTATCAGCCAAAGCTAATGTGGAATGACTGGTTCTGTCGTCTTTAATGTTTGGTCTTTATACTCGGTGACTTCTGTTAAATCTCTTTTCACTCTTCAGGGATTTCCTGGATTCCACTTCAGGAAATAAAGTCCTCATTATTCAGACAGACTTTGAAGATGGCTCTCAGAATGCCCAGCTCATTGCCTCAGCCAAGTGAGTGGGTGTGGAGGGGTTCAGTTCTGCCAGGCCGCTCCTCGCTGTGTTGGTTATTGGTGCTGTTTGGGGATCTCACACTCAGGAATGTGCAGTCCTTTCTTCTATAGCAGAATGAATCTAAATCCACTGATTGTATTTCAAATAATCCATAACCCGAGTCAGAGTAAACTAAGCTGGGTGAAATGAGCTGATAATCCCCTTTGATGTGTGAATTCTGGCCAGTGGCTGCAGAATTCCTGAAGAGCTGAGGGGCACAGGATAATTCAGGGCACAGCTGGGAGGAAGGAGTGGGAGTCACCTGTCTGTTCTGGGAGAGGACACGTGTCCTCTCTGAGGAGAGACCTGTGGCCATGGGGCTCTGTGTGCCTTTGCTCTGCCACCAGCATTTCCTCCTTGCTGCAGGTACACTGTTGTCAATGAGATCAACAAGGTGGACCTGGGGGAGGTCTCTGTCTTTGTTTACTTTATCATGAAGCTTTCCCGGCTGGAAGGAGGAACATCCTACGTGGGATTCCATGGAGGTGGGTGTGCCCATCTGTGCCTTCAGGCAATGATTTCTCTTGCTCACTGTTCCTCCAAATGCTGAGGAGCTGGACTCAGTGTGTCCTGTGGGTTGTCAGAGCTGCTTCCCTGTCCCACAGAGCTGCCCAGGGGAGCAGTACCTGGCAGTCCTGGCTGGGAGCACCTTGCCTTGCCTGCTGACAGACAGGTCCCCTCTGCTGTCAGCTGGAGAGCAGCACACAGCCACGAGGGTAACCCTGTGAGTGTGTTGTCCTCCAGAGGCTCTGGAGCAGGTGCTGATGTGTTCAGCAAGGTTCCTCTGGGTCTGGGGCCTTCTGAGAGCCCCAGAACCTTGGACCTGTCAGGCAGCAGCAGCAGGTTCTGAGGGCATTGTGCTTTCCCCTTGTACAGCAAGGGGTGCGAGTTAGTGACCTCTGAAAGTAACCCCAGGGGCTGGCAGGTAATTCTGGGGAGCTCCTCTGGAAGAACAAGCTGCAGGCTGGGAGTGATTCCTTGTTCTGTGCCCCTAGGGCTGTGGCAGTCGGTGCACATCGACGACCTCCGCAGGTCCAAGGACATGATCTCTGACTTGACAGCCCTGCAGAACCTCACCATCAGCCAGGTGTTCTCTCAGGATCCAGGTGCAACCAGAGGTGAGCTGTGTGCTGGGGAAAGGGGGAGCTGTGGTCCCAGACTTGGTACTACAGGAACTGATGCCTGGCACAACTTACCTGATGACTTTCCCTGCTCAGCACCTGGTTTTGGTGGGGTCACCACATGGCTCCCAACTTGTGTTTAATTCATTACTACGACTTTAGGTCATCAAGCAAGTTAATTTGGTATTTTTCCCTTTTCTTTTTGACAAAAATGTGGCATTTGCACTGCTCAGCACAGGAGGCAGCAGATGCTGCATGGCAGAGACTGACAAGGATCTTTCTTTCCCCTCAGCTTTTTCTTACTCTCTTTCCTTGCACCACACTGCCTGACAGGAGTCAGGGAGAGCTTAAGGCATTAGCTCAGTGTCACATTTCTTCCAGCTCTTGCTGCATGAAGCCTGACAGCCCAAGCAGCTGTGGCTGTGTTTGAGAGGTGAATCTCAGCTACTCATGCAGGTGCTAATGGGTCTCTGACAGATGTTCTGCTGCTCTGGGATGCAGTTGCTAAAATAAACTCTCATCTGATTGATGCAGGAGTGCACTGCTGCTTTCTAATAACAATTCTACACCTTAGCTGCAGCTCTGCCTGCCAGTGGAGAAGCTCAGCAGGAGGAGATGATGGAGGTTGAAACATCAGTGCCAGGAGCAGAGCACCAGGAGGTCAGTTCAGAATACATTTGTTTGCCTCTCAGCTGTCACGTGGCTCTCTGCTCTGTCATCCGTGTGTGCAGCCCACCTTTTGTGTCCCCCTTCATCAGAAACCAATCAGCAATATTTGCATAATGAATGTTACTGATCAGATACAAGCTCCTCCTCCCCACTGCCCAGTCAAAATCAGCATCACTAAAGAAATCAGCCATTCTAAGGACTCTAATTCCTCAGTCATTTCATTCTTCTGATTTTTAAAAATCAGCTCTAAGAGTTTCTGTTGCCTTTCTCCCCCTGGAAGTGGGAGCTGTGGTCCTGAGCCTCACTCCAGCTGTGTGCTCTGAGGTGGAGCAGGGCTGGCTGAGGCCTTGGCTGTGCTGCAGCCACATTCACACTGCCCCATGTGCCCCTGGCAGCCTCAGCTGGACATGCCCAGCACCAGGGACATGGAGCATTTCTAGGAAAGCCACATTTTCCCTGGTCCCATTGATTATTTCAATTTCTTTCCTCAAACTGCTGAGTCTTTCCCCTGCAGGAATCTCAGCTCAGCACAAATGCAGTGTCACAGGCCAGTTTGAAGGGGCCACAGAAGCTGCATCATGTTCTTGACAGCACAAGAGCTGAGAATTGCAGCCTGAGCTGAGGGGAGCTGGGAACAGGGATGCCAGGCAGCAGGCCCTGGAGGAGCACTGTAAAGCTTTAAAGGGAGTGTGCTGGGGACAGGAGGGTCTCTCCAGGGCAATGACCTGGTGTCCCTGGGCAGGGGGAGATCCTGGACACCACGGTGCTGCTGAGGAGCTGTGTGCAGAGTGCTGTGGGCATGCTGCGGGACCAGAACGACCTGAGCCGGAGCAGGAGGAGAATTGAGATTCTGCTTGGCCTCCTCTCCAAAGAGGATGAGCTGAAAGGTGTGTGCTGCAGGGAGGCCCTGGGCATCTGGGACCACCAGAACAGTCAGCTCACTGGGGATGCAGAGGTCCTTGCTGTGCTGCAGGCAAGGGGGCTCTCCCGAGAATGTGTGTCCGTGCTGCAGTGGGTGGGTGGATGTAAGGCTTTTCTGCTGTTTTAGTGGCTTTTTTTTCTGGCTGTGCTGGCTGTTTTTTTCCCCACTTGGCCAATTATTGAAACAACTGTCAAATGCTGTGCTTGGTGGGATATTTGGGTCCAAGCTAATAGAAGAGCAAACACAAGTTCCCTGCTGTTTTGTAGCCTCTTTCCTGAACATAACCAAGGCTCGACTCTCCAGCCTGTTGAAGAAGCAAGAAGAAAATTCCCTTCACCCAAAAAACTGGGTGCTTCGGGAGGCTTCCAACCTCAGTGCTCTGCAGGAGGCAGGTACCTTCAGGTGAGGACAGCAGCACTGCCTTGTCACCTGCAGCCTCCCAGGAAGGGTCTGCAGGTGGCACCTGAGCAGCAGAGACAGCAGCTGTGTGTAATTTGTGTGAACATTTGCAGTGTCAGTCTCCAGGCTGTGCTGGAAACTCTCTGAAGGCAAACTTCACCTCTCCTGGGGAAGGGTGAGTTAGAGCTGAAGGGGCTGTACTGGGACAGGGATGCCCAGGTGCTTGAGTGGAACAGTGGCATTACAGGTGAGCCAGGAGTGAGAGGAGTGCAGGGTTTTTTTGTTGGTGTGGTATTCTTTCCCATAAAGGCAGCATTAGGATTCTGTCACATGCAAATGCCAGCAGTTATTCAGGGCAGGCACCTCCTGTTCTGCTGACATTCCCTCTGGGTTTCTCCATCTCTCTCCCCAAAGGCACACCCTGTGGAAGCGAGTGCAGAAGGTGGTCACTCCCTTCCTGGCTCTCCTGGTCGCTATCATAGACAGGAATGGCAATCTGGAGCTGCTGGCCAGGCCAGGAGCAAAGTGGGTGACAAAGCTGTGGATGTTCATCTTCAGCGACTCCAAATTCCTGAGTGTCCCTCCTGGTGTGGGGAACAGGTGAGCCTGGGGGAGCAGCAGGAGGGCTGGGCTGGGCTGGCAGCACTGGGAGCAGCCAGCACTGGCTCTACCCCTCCCAGGCAGAGGGGTGTTTGTTGGCTGCTCCAGGAGGGCAGCAGGCACTGCTCACAGTTCAGCCTGTTCTCCTCAGAGTCCTGCAGATCCCTCCCCTCCCTCCTAGGGCTCAGTTGCTTTCTGCAGCCTCTGCCTCTGTCTGTACTATGCTTCCCAGACAAAAGCCCTGTGCATTAATGACCTGTTAACCCCCCAGCCCTCAGCCAGAGATAATTGTGGTGCAGAACAACATGACAGTGTCTGCTGATGCTGGCAATGAGATGCCCTTCAGCTGGAGGATAAAGGAGTACCTGGAAGAGATGTGGTTGGAGGCTCAGTACATCCAAAACACTGAAGGTGAGAGCCTGGCTTCAGTATCTCCATCCACTGCCCTTTGAGCTCTGGTTTGTCGCTGCTGTGCTCCTCCTGTCACTGGAGTCACCTTCATTCCCTCTGTGCTCCTGTGAGCCAGCAGAGTTCTGTGCAGGCAGCTTTTCTTTGTGCCTCTCACCATTCATCTTCCTCACCTGTTCTGTGCCCTTGCATTCCAAGTGCTGTGGGGCAGCCAAGAGTTAATAACAAGGTGAAATTCCAGAAATACAACACGGTGCTGGGCTGACAAGGCCTGGCTTGAGTCCCTGCTCAGTGCCCTGGATGAGGGGAGTGCTGGATGCATCAGTGATTAATGAGGTGTCAGTGTCTCTAGGATAGATGCTGTGTCAAAGCCAGCTTCCTCCCAACATCCAGCTTTTCTCTGTGTCTTCATTTTCCAGGCCATGCTGAGAAGTTTGTGGAATACTTCCAGAAAACTGCCCTGGGAAAATTCATCTCTACTCTGACTGAGGAAGAAAGGCAGATGCTCTTCGAGTGCTACATCACAGACTTTATTGTCTTGACCATCGGTGTGTCCTCCCAGGAGGAGCTGCAGGTCAGGGGCTGGAAATTCTTTGGATTCTTTGGGGAGAAGAGTGTGATGCCTGTGAATGTGTTGTACTGAATCATTCCTGCCTTGGGGAAAACCTCCTCTGGGACAGCCCAGCAGCAGGAGAACCCCAGAGCAGACCACTGGACACTGGGGTTACTCAGAAAGGCAGCACCTGCATACATTGACACATTTAAGGCTGTCTTTGTAGGAAAGTGATTCTCATATTTCAGGGAATTTTGCCAGGATTTCCAGTACAAAATGAATTATAAAAGTACTTTCTCACCTCTGGTTTTCTGTGTCCCACCCCTGCAGTGTCTGCGTGTGGCATTCATGTCCTGCATTGAGGAGTGGATGGCAGAGTCCCCCTGGAGGAAGGAGCTGGTGCCCTCCCTGCCCTGGGCCCACCTGGCACACAACCAGTTCAAGAGCCGCCTGCAGAACTTCTCCAGGATCCTGGCTGTGTACCCCCGTGTGACTGGCTACCTCCTGAACCAGCAAGGATGCAGAATTCCCTGCTCTGAGATGGTAGAGTCACTGCCTCAGCCCTGGCAGGGAGCTCTGTCTGCACTTCAGTCTCCCTCGGATTTCAGTGACAGCAGGGGGGGAAGCACAGGCTGGGGTTCCTCAGAATTGGGAATGATCTGCTGTGTTCTTACTGCTACAAGCAGGTTTTTAAATAGTTTGCCCTGCTTTTGCATTAGTTAATAGGACATGCTAACAAGCCAAGCCACAAACATGAGAATTGCAGAGCTTAAATTAATCAAGTATGACATTATTCAGTGCAGCACATGCTGTAGCAAACCAGACTGAGAGCCCAAGGTCCATGAGGAATTCTGAGCTGTTGTTACCCCTGGCCCTGTGTGTGTGCAGGTTCTGGACGTGCTGGCTGCCATGGTGTGTGCTGAGGAGCTGGAGAAGCTGGTGCAGACAGCCTCCCCTGAGCGCTGGCTGCAGAGAGTGAAGAACCTCCACATGCCCATTGAGTTCCTGTGCAAAGAGGAGGGTGCCCAGCGCAGGGGCAGCCGCTGCCATCAGCTGCTGAGGGAGCTCAGGTAGGCACCCAGCTCTGCTCACAGCCCTGCTCTTTGCCTGGTGCTGCTCTGGGACATTGGAGCAGCCTGAAGCTGTTCTGGTGCTGCTTTTCTCAGGCTTTGCAAACCTTTCCAGGTTCTTGCTGGGCTCAATTACATACCAAGCAGCAAGAACCACATTTTTTTCCTCTCATCTCCTGCAGATTCTCTCTCTAAATTTGGCAGAAGCAGCTTTACTCATTGCTGTTTCTGGATTCCAGGCATGGTCTGGAGCCGTGTCCCATCTGCCTGGGAGAGCCAAAGGACCCCATCTGCCTGCCCTGCAACCACGTGTTCTGCCACAAGTGCATCAGCCTGTGGCTGGTGCCAGCACAGATGTACTGTCCCTACTGCAGGGCAGCTGTGGAGGACGTGGAGTTAACTGTCTCTGAGGAGCTCAGGTACTCTAGCCACCCTCTCCAAGGTGGGAGCATCCAGGGGGGAGGCTTTGTGAGGAGGTTCTCAACTCTGACGTGGTCAACACGAGCAGAGTGGAGGGTGAACTCTGCTTCATCCCTCTGGAACTGAACAGGTCCTGTCTGTTCTGTTGTTTGAAAAAAGGGAAAAGCTGCTGTAGCCTCTGTAAAAATATACAAATCATAGAATGGTTTTGGTTGGAAGGGACTCTAAGGATCATCTTATTGGGAAGGTGGAGAAGTATCTCCCTTTGGTGACTTTTGCCTGTGTGTGCTCAGTTCCTCTGTGGTTTAAGAGGTTGTGTTTGCTTTTGCCCCTCCCAGAGCTGCCATAGCAAAGAACTCCATGTTCCGCCAGAGGTGCAATAATTTCTTCATTGACATGGTCACCACCATGTGCTTCAAGGACAACGAGCCCCCTGAGCCAGAGGTGATCCAGAGGCTCCTGAACCTGCTGTTTGTTCACAGAAGCCTCGTGAAAGACCCAGGTGAGCTCCCTTCATCCTGACACTCAGTCTTACAGAGCTGGATCTGTCACCACCGTCTCTCACTTGCCAAACCTGTCCTTCCCTTGCCTCCACAGATCACCCTGCTGTCTACACAAAATTCCTGTCCCCTTTTAATGATGAGGTGGATGAAACTCCCATCATCCGCTCTGTGATGCTGAAGCTGCTCCTGAAGTACAGGTGAGCACATTCAGCTGAGGGAGGTTAGGCCAGGCCAGGTTCAGCTGTGCTCCTCATCAAACCCATCCCATTGTTCTCCTCACCTCCCTAAGTTTCATTAAATCTCACATTCACCTCAAAATCTCACAATCTTTGCATTAGTCATGCAGCTTGGCTGGCTTGCATGGAGCTTGTGGTGCAGTGTGAGCAGCCTGTGCAAGGTTTACCCGGCTGTCCCTCACTAACCCTGTGCTGAGGGTGGATGCCTGGGTTCTGCAAGGTGGCTGAGTAGTCGCTCTGATCTAGGTCAGCAAAGCAAAACTCCTCATTCACAGAGATTTAATCAGGATTTGAACTGATCTTGTGTCTGCCCCACAACCCTCCCCATTCCCACAGCCCTCCCAGCCTCCCTTTGCAGGCAGGGCTCAGAAGCCCCTTCTCAGGTGTGACCACCTCCTGAACCAGCTGCCTTTTGCCCTGGGAGTGCTCACTGAGCCTGGCTCATTGCCAAATGTCACCTGCAGAAAAGGGCACAAGGGCTTCTCCATCTCGCAGCTGGATCCAGAGTGACCCCACCTGTCCCACAGCCAGCTCTGGGAGCTGTGCTGTGATTTAGAGCAGGGGCAGTCCTGTCAGCCTGGCAGCTGTGTCAGGGGTCTCTCTCTCTCCTGCAGCTTCAATGAAGTCAAAGATGATGTGCAGCGTTACCTGTCGCAGGTGGAGCACAACGAGCTCCTAGAGAAAAATGACAAAAAAGAGCTCTACTTGCTTTTTGTCAACTGCTTGGAGGTAAGAGCTGGGCCCTGAAACTGTTGCAGTTCCATGAGTAAAAAAAGTCAAGAACAGAAATTCTTCTGCAGTTCTAGGTGTGTTTCTTGTGTATATAAATATTTTCCAAGTAGAAAGCCCAGAAGGAGTTGATATGAAATCACCTGGTCAGAACTTGCTGTCAGGATTGAGTCTTGCTTTCCAAGGAAAGCCTTGTGTGTCTTTGCAGTGTTACATAAATTCTTTCCCTTGGACAAGTGTCTGAGTGTTAAACCTCAGACTCCAGCACAGGAGTGCAGCAAGCAGGGCCTTTCTCATGGCAGCAGCCCACTGCTGAGCTGCCTTCTTGTCTCCACAGACCCTTAAATTACTGTGCAGAACTTAAATTATTATGCCTTTTGGATTCTTCCCTTTCCTTCCCTTGCATAACTTTCAGGGCTTTGGACAACTTGAAACAAATATGACAGCAGGGGAGAGGTTTTATTTCTACAGTTTTTTTTAAGTGACTTTGTAGTTAAAATCATTTGTGTTTTTGCTAAGGGACAGACAGGTAGAGCTTGGCATCTTGGAACATGAAATGTGTGTTATTCACAGCCTGCTCATGGCTCTTGCTCAGCTCCAAGCTTGAGGGTGTGGGACAGCTGGGGCACATCCTAAAAATGGTGTTTGGTGACATGGTGGAGGTTTAGGATGAGGGGGCAATGGCAGTGGGGTTGGAGGGTGCAGGGATGGTTTGGAGGCTCAGGGATGGTTTGGAGGCTCAGGGATGGTTTTCTGTGCTTGTGGCAGGGATGGTTTGGAGGCTCAGGGATGGTTTACTGTGCTTGTGGCAGGGTGGGCTGGAGGCTCAGGGATAGTTTGGAGGCTCAGGGATGGTTTGCTGTGCTCGTGGCAGGGTGGGCTGGAGGTTCAGGGATGGTTTTCTGTGCTCGTGGCAGGGTGGGTGTACAGGGTGGGATGGAGGCTCAGGGATGGTTTGGAGGCTCAGGGATGGTTTGCTGTGCTTGTGGCAGGGTGGGTGCCCTGGGGACACAGGGGTGGCTGGGTGAGGTGGCTCTGTCACTCACCAGTGTTCTGGCCTCTCTAGGATTCCATGTGTGAGAAGTCAGAGGACAGCCTGGGATATGGGCACGGAAGCAGTGTGCCCGAGGACAGAGCCTTTCCAGAGAGCTACCTGCCAGCCAGCAGCAGAGAGGCTCCCCAGGAAGCCTCAGTGGAATACCTGCAGGCCGTGGCCGAGGTGCGCCTGTGCCTGAGCAGGGCTGCAGAGCTCATCTTCCACCTGCAGCAGCACACACGTGAGTCTGACTGCTCTGCTGGAAATGCTGGCTGCAGGGCAGGTGGGCTGGACCCTGTCAGTGCCCTGTGCTCTGCTAGGACCTGTTTTGGTGTGTGGCCAAGGAGGAGAGCAGCAATTCCTTTTTCCTTGGGGTTGTCAGTCAGTGTCTGTCCCCTGTACCAGGTGTTAGAAGTTCTCTGTAACTGGTAGCAAGGCTGTGCTGGTGACCCCAGTGTAGTTACATGGCAGTTACACCTGTAGAAGGAGATTTATTTTATTCTCCTGATGCTAACAGTGAGATTTATTTAGAGCCCACTAAATTGAACTTTAAAGCATAAGTGCTGCTTCAGACCCAGGACTGCTGTAAGGGTTATTGTTTTATATGAATGAGAGCTCTGCACAGCTAGAAGGGATTAAGAGTTTATATTGACGAGTTTATATCTTCCCTGTCAAAGAAATGAATCATTGTCTGAAATCTGGCTGAGAAAATGCTCCAGACAACACCTGAGGAAGGGAGGGCTCTGAAGTTCTTTGTAATAACACAGTACTAATAAAGGGACTTGGTGCTACAGCTGGGGCAGACAGAAAAGTTTTACAAGGTGGGATGTGCTTTTGCCTCTTTGTTTTAACCTCTTTTTTCCCCTCCAGAGCCAGAGCAGATGAAGGACGAGCAGCGTTACCTGAAGAGTGTGGAGAAGTTCTGCAGGCTCGCCAGGAACGACTGGCACTGCGTGTACCTGGTCAGGAGGATTGCCAGCCAGCACGGGATGGAATTTGCTCAGAAGTTGGTCACAGAGCCACAGTTCAGCTGGGTGTTCCCAGCAGAAATTCTGCAACAGGTAGACAAGAGGCACCTCTCCTGGTGATGGTTCTGGTCTCCTCTTTGCCTTCACTTTTTGCTGCTTTGGGTATTCCTAGTGTCGTGTGCTCTTGGGGCTCTTGGGGTCAGGCCAGAGTGGCAGTGGCTGGGAGCTGGCTTGTCCTGGCTCTCGGGTGAATGGAGACTCTCCTGGCAGCACCACGTCTGCTGCTGCTGCTCTGGGGAGCCTGAAAGGCCCCGGTGCTTGGGAGGAAGAGGAGATTCTGCCTCCTCCAGCTGGGTGGTTGTCCCCAGAGCTGTGCATGGCTGTTCCCTTGGCAGGTCCAGCACAGCCAGTCCAACCACATCGACCGGTACCTGGTGTGTGGGGAGCGGTACCGGGCCCTGCGTGACGCCGTGGGACGAGCCATGATGGAGGGCACGGCCCAGGGGCTGCTTGAGGCCCAGGAGGTACAGCCCTGTCCTCCCCCAGACCCCTGCTGGGCCCTGTCCTCCCCCCAGACCCCTGCTGGGGTTTGCATGGCCCCAGCCCTGCTGTGCCCTGGTGGGCAGTGTCTGTTCCCAGCACCTGGGGGCCTCTGCTGGGAGCTTACTGGGGCTTCTGCTCAAGCACGTTTGCTTTACTTTCCACCTGTACATCCCATCACTGCAGCTGGGGCAGCTCTGGCCTGTCCCCTGCTACATCCGTGGTTCTTCCCCAGGCCTCCAGCAGCCCCCCAGCTCTGGAATCTGCCCACCTGCTCCTGGCCATCTTCCGAGAGGTCACTGCCCTGTACGGGGATCCAAACCTTCATCCCAAGCAGCAGGTAGGACACTCCCCTTTGGCAGCTTGTGACAAACCTGCTTTGTGGGTAAGGGTGAGGGGCATCTAAATCAGTGGTGGAGCTTTTGCTCCTGTGCTCCAGCCAGGGTGATGGCCTGAGTGAGCAGGCTGGGGAGGTTTTGGGAGCAGGGTAACCCAGCATGGGAAGCAGCTGCCAGTGCTCTCATTTGGGTGGGGGCAGTATCCTGATGTCTTTAGCTCTTTCCAATCTGTGCTTTCAGCAAACAGAGGTGATGACTGAGTTCATCCAGAGCTGCCAGGTGCTGAATTCCCCCGAGCTGCAGCACTTTGCAGTTGCCCTGGTGAAGAACACCCTGCCCGGGCTGGCCGTGGAGCCACGGGGCCACCAGTTTGTAGCAGGGTTTGAATTAACCACTTAGAGGCTGGATTTTTGTTGCATTCCCTTTCTCTGCTGGAGAAGCTGTTGCTCTGGAATTCAGTGTTCTCCTGTTGCTTTTCCCAGTGTGGGCTCCCCATGGAGACGAGCCGCTGTCCCGACTGCCACGTCCCCATTGGAGGCATCAACCACAAACCCCTGCAGGGCTTCCATCAGTCCAGGTGGGCTTTGCTGCAATGCCTTTGCAGGGCTAAATGATGTAGGACTTGCCTGTGCTGCCCTCAAAGACCAGAGGTACCAAGCACTTCATGCTGCTCTCTGGAAGGTGTAAGGAGGAGATGTCCAAGCAAGAGTAATCAGGCAGCAAAACCAAAGAAATCTGCTTTTCTGTGCACAAAACTAACTGGAAGCCTTCACTCTCCTGTGGCACTTGGATTTGGCAGCTTTTATGGCATTCAAAGATATTATGGGTCTAGAAGTCATTGCTGGGTATCAGATATCTTGTGTGGTTTTTGTCAAAGTAAAAAAAAATAAATATATGCACTTTCCTACAGTATTCAGGAGGACAGAACTCAGACTGGCCACATACTTGGAGGTGTTAAGAACAGAAGAACACTGGGAACATCTGACAGGGGCGTGTCCCCCATGGTCTTTGTGCTGCTCCGTTTGCTCACCCACCTGTCCATGCTGCTGGGAGCCTCCAGAGACCCTCAGGTATCTTCCAGAAATGCTTCCAAGTGGTCACACAGAATGTAAGGGAACTTTTGTATGCTGCTGGTCCTTTTCATCATAGTGCCAAGTGGCCAGGGCAGTCTGTCAGACCCAAATTCCCTCCCTCCTTGCCCAGGAGGGATTTTGGTTAATTCCTGCACTTCCATGCAGGCACATCCACCCAGCCCTGCCTTGATGGGCACAGGTAGCAGGAATCCCACAGGTGGGAGTGCCTGGCAGGACAGAGCTCTGTGTGCTTTGTGCTTCCCTAGATGTTTTTGGCTGTGCTAAGCTCTTGCCTTTGTTGTCTTTAGTCCCTGGAAAGCATGATCAAGCCAGCAGTGGATGACGTGGTGAGCTTCCTGCAGCAGCACGTTCAGGAGGACTTGGCACAGCTGACCAGGATTTTGGGGAAGAGTGTGGATGACACTATCAACATCCTGCACCTGGTGCTCAGCAGCCTCCTGCAGGCCCCCCAGCAGCAGCCAGGCCAGTGTAAGGAAAGCCACCTGCCCTGTCACACCTGGGGCTGTGGTTGAAGGGCTGTGGCCATGCAGCCACCTTCCTGATAAACCCCTTCCAACAGCAGCAGCTGAGCTGAAGAGGAAAATAGAGAGTTTGAAGCTTGTTTCTTACTGTAGGGAGGGAAGAATTTTCAGCTGTTTGCTACTTTCAGTCGAGTACATGGGGTTTGCAAGGTTTGGTGCAGTCAATAACTCTGAAAATGAATTATTGACAAAACAACCTCGTGACAGATGGGCAGAGCTTGCAGCTCCTGAGCAGGGCTGCTCTCCCAGCACTCAGCTCGTGCTGTGTGCAATCCCTGTTCTGTGCTGCCTCTCAGTCACTCCCAGAAGCTCTTTGGGAGAAGAGGGATGGCACAGTGGGGTCTGGAGTCGCTATGGTACAAAGGCATTAATGTGGAAATAGCCCATATTTGGAGGGTGAGACAGCATGAATCAGTATTCCAAGCTTCACTCTGTCATTGATCATGGTCTGACCTTGGACAACCTGTTCAATATTTCTGGGGTTATGAAGGAGTTGTGTAAATGTCCCCATCATTCACATGAAGCTCCTGGAAACCTGGATCACTGTGTGATGTTTGGGTGTCACTCTCCAGCTGGACCAAGCTACTCAGTTAACTTCTAGCACCTGTGAATCTGTGCTTTCTTTTCACTAAAATATTGCAGATTTAAGAGGTGAAATATTCCTTTTGCAGGGCTGGTGCAGTTTGATGATGTTCTCTCCACCAAGGAGAAGAGAAACAAATGGGAAGAAATTGCAGACAAAATTATTGTTCCTGAATTGAAGGTGAGAAATCTGCTGTGCAGAGTCAGTAGCTGAGCAGTTCAAAATCCACTGGAAATCTATGTGCTGTAATATCTGTGCTACACTTTTCACCTGGCTGTTCCTAAAGCCAGCCCATCCATGGCACAGCTGCAGGTTAAGGATTAGCCACCTATATTCTGCCTGGGGAGATGGGAGCCTGAGACTGGGGCTGTTCTGGGATGAATTTGTATATCTGGAAAAGCAGAAATGGCTTAGCTCAGCTGAAGGTATTTCACAATATCCAATCATTTGTTATTATTTTAATGCAGGATTTGGATAAAAAGCTACTCAAGTTAAACCAACTGATACAAGAGGATGAGAGACTCTCTTCCAACCCCATAGTGAAGATAGTGTATGGGGACCCAGCTGCATTCCTGTCCCAGCTGCCAGGGGACAGCCACGTCCACCACTCCAAGATGTGGAGCTGCCGCAGGAGGGTTTCCGTGGAGAACCTGGGCCACGTTGTGCAGCAGAAGAATGCCAAGGACACTGTCCCTCTCCTCTGGAAGTTCCTGCAGAAGGTGGGGGTGGCACAGGGGTGAGAGCCTGGCATTGCCCAGGACTAAACCACGTTTGGATTGTGTCAGTACTTGCTATGATCTTGAGAATGAACACAGAAAAGATTGTTGTCTTTTAAACATTGAAGAAGTAATTACATAAAAGTATTCCCAACTGGTTTGTCCAAGTACAACCTTACCCACAGGCTCCCTTTCCTCTTCCAGGAAAGTGAGCTGAGGCTGGTGAAATTCCTCCCAGAGATTCTGGCTCTGCAGAGAGATTTGGTGAGGCAATTCCAGAACACAGCAGAGATTAAACACTGCTCCATCAGGGAATTCCTCAGGGAACCCCACTCAGGTGAGACTGCCAAAATTGTAATTAATGAAACAAAGTGCTGGATTGTCCAGTTGAAAGTGAAGGGGAAAACTCACTTTTTCCTTTTAACTCTCGCCCAAATGAATTGGAGATTTGGATAGGACTGGAAAAGTTAGCAGATGACTTTAAAGGGAATTAAGTACAGGAGATTTTTTATGAGGGGTGGGAACCCTGTGCAGTGCAGCAGTGGTTCTGTGGGCTTTTTAAGCTCAGCCCTAGAGCAGGGCTTGCCTAAAGAGTGGAATGAATGTTCTTCCCTTCCATTCATGAAGTTTGTGGCAACTTCTTCAATTGTATTTAAGTACAATTACTGATGCTTTTAAGTACTTATGGAAAAGTACATAAAGGTCATACAGGAGCAGACAACAATGGAAAAATAAACTGAGCAAATTACGCCATTTGATACCTTTAGAAAGGTGTTTGGTGTCTGTTTAGTCTCTTGAGCAGTTGCCTGGAGTTCAGTGGTGTGCTCTGAAGATCCCTGTATTGGAGAAAAGGTGTTTCATGGATTTGTCTTTTTGTTGTTTCTCAGATGTGATGAGGGACCTGTTAGAGAGGAGAGTGAATGTGTTTCTGTCTGTCTGGAACAAACTGAGAAGCTCCCTGGACACCAATGGTGAGCAGCTTCTTTCCCAGCCCTGTTCCTCGTTCTGAGTTCAGGTTCCTCCCATCACTGATGCTGAGGCATACCTTCAAAACTGGGCTTGGCCATTGAATTTTAAGAATGTAGGTACAAGGGGAGGGATTTGTTTCCCTGTTGTAGTATTCTGACCTGAACCTGTTTCCTTCCTCACCTGACCTTGTTCCCTTTTGTGCTCATCCCTAACACTGAGCACGGGCTTTTCCCAGGCTCGGCACCTCCCCCTGCCCTGGCTCAGCCTGGGCTGGCTCTGGGCCTCCTCAAACACTGCTGTCTGTATTTCAGGGGAAATCAAGCTGCCTAAAGGCTACTGTGATGCCGAGCTGAGCCTGGACAGCAGGCTGGAGGTGCTGCTGCCGCGGCGCCGGGGGCTGGGGCTGTGCTCCACGGCGCTGGCCAGTTACCTCATCGGGCTGCACAACGACCTGGTGCACTCTGTCAACAGGCACACCAAGGAGGATGACAGGTGTGCTGCTGCTCCGCTGCCTGGGCTCTGCTGCATCCCCTGCTCCCTCTCAGGCAGCTTTCCCTGCTCCACAGAGGCCTCTCCCTCTGAACACAGCCCTTTGCTCCCTGCAGGTACCTGGTCAGCCCCTCGGAAGTGGCCGACCTGCACGTGATCAGTTACGAGGTGGAGAGGGACCTGATCCCTCTCATCCTGTCCAACTGCCAGTACAGCATGGAGAAGGGAGGGGAGACCTTGCAGGACTTTGATCTGGAGAGGATCCAGCAACAAGTGATCAGCAAGTTCCTGCAGGGGAAGCCACTCATCACGCTGACGGTAGGAGGGGCAGGGGCTGGGGCTGTGCAGCCACGAGGGCTCTGGGAGCAGCATTCCAGGCTTCACATCCATGGGTTTCTCTCCTGACAGGGAATCCCCACCCTGGTGCACAGACATGACCGGAACTACGAGCAGCTGTTCAGTGATGTCAGGAACAAGCTGGAGCAGGTGGGTTTCTGCACTGCAGGAAGCAGGGCAAGCATGAAATCCCTGCTTTTCCAAGGGTTTTCTGTGCCTTGCCTTGTCCATCCAAAGGCTTGCCTGCTGATTTCTCAGCGTGCCTTGGGTACGTGCAATCTGGCCTTGTGCTGTCAGTCAGGATTTACAAAGAGAAAGGAGATAGTTCAGCGTTTCAGTTTCCTAAATCTGGGGCTCTGTTGTCTCCCATGACTTGAGCAATTGGAACAGAAGAAGGAATGGCTCTAAAACAGTATTAACTGTGACTTTGTGGTTTTCAGAGTGCTCTGCCCGGTTCTGTGATGAACATGATCAGTGGGGAGCTGCAGTCCTACAGCGATGTGTGTGATGCCCTGTCCCTCACTGAGATCACCCTGGGCTTCCTGGCCATGGCTGGTGAGAATGCTGACATGCTGCTGACTGAGTACATTGAGCACGTTCTGCAGATGGGGGATCAGACAAACCCTCACGTGCTGCAGGTGAGTCCTGAGGGCAAAGCTCAGATTCTTGAGGGGTAAAATGTGATTTATGCTAAATCCAGCCTGTGTGACAGAGCCCTCTCACTTTCCCACTGCCTGTTGTGGGATGAAAACTGGATTATTGAGGGCAGCTGGGGAAGGATGAGAGGAGAGATGGGCTCCACCCAGGCCAATATGAGCCCTGTGCTGAGCTCTCTCTGGGCAGGGCAGGCTGGGGACAGGCTCCAAGGACATCCCTCACATCCACAGCTGTCCTTCTCTTCCAGGCGCTCAGACGGTGCCAGCTGAGGCACAGCATGGCCCTGTGGCAGCTCCTGTGTGCCCACAAATCTGAGCAGCTGCTGCGCCTCGGCAGGGTATGGCACCCCCAGCCCCTCTGTGTGAGCTCCTCTGCTCTGCTCTGCCCTGCCTGCAGCTGCTCACGTGTGTGTTTGGGTTTTTCCTCCTGCATTTGTTTGGGGCTTGTTGCTTGTTCTTTGGGTTTGTCATTATTGTTTTTACACCTGCTGTGAAAAGCAGAGGGGCTGTGGAGGAGGAGGAGGGTGAAACAGACCCAGCAGCTCGGTGTGAACCCTGGAGGGACACAGCTCCAGAGCCACTGGAGGAACATGAAGGATTTTTTTTTTTTTTTACAAACCACAGTGCCCTCGTGCTGGGGCAGGCTTGCTGCTTTCCCTTCTGCACTGGCTGCAGAACCGGCTCCTGCCCAGCGCCCCCGCCGCGGCGGGACCCGCACAGGGAGCCCTGAGGGCCGTGGCGCCTCCGCTGCCTTCAGCGCGGCCCGCCTTGGCCCGGGCCGGCTTCTCCCCTTCCCTTTCAATAAACTCGTTCAGCCCCGCGCGGCTTCCCGGCTCCTTCCGCGCTCGCTGCCGGGCTCCGAGCCGGGACCGCTGCCGCCGGCCCGGAACGGCCGCCGCTGGGAGCGGTAACGGGGCTGGGGCTGGGAGCGGGAACGGGGCTGGGGCTGGGGCTGGGAGCGGGAACGGGGCTGGGGCTGGGACGGGCCCCGGGGAGCGCCCGGCGGCGCCGCTGGGAGCAGGAACGGGGCTCGAAGGGGCCCGGCCGCGCTCCCACAAGGCACGGGCACTCTCGGGAAGCGCCGCCGGTGCTCCGCCCTCCGGTTGGGGTCTGGGGCTCCCCGGGGAGCGAGGGGGGCGCGGCTCGGGCCGGGGCTCGGGGAGCGGCCCCGCTCTGAGCGCGGCGGCCCCGCAGGGAGCAGGCCCGGCTGAGGGCCGGCGTGGTGGAGGAGGACACCGAGGAGTGGCAGAAGGACCCGCAGTTCTCCGGGCTGCAGAGAGTGGGAGGTGTGGATTTATCCTACATCAAGGGGGACGAGAGCCGTGCCTGCGCCTCCCTGGTCGTGCTCAGCTACCCGGCTCTCGAGGTACCGCCCGCACGGGGCCGTGGGGCAGCGGGAGGTGGGATAGCGGGGAGGAATCTTCACTGAGACGGTGGGAAGTGTTCCAGGCCAGGCTGGACAGGGCTTGGAGCAGCCTGGGACAGTGGGAGGTGTCCCTGACATGGCAGGGGTGGAATGGGATGGACTTCAAGGTCGCTCCCGACCAAATCATTCCATGGTTTTGTGTGTGTGTGTGTTCAGCAAAACTTCCAATTGTGTGTTCTTCCCCCCCCCCAAAAAAAAAAAACAAAACCAAAACAAACAAACAAAAAAAAACCAACCCCAAAAAAAAACCAACCCAGAAAAAAATACTTGTAAGGATTTAGACAGAAGTTTAGGAAGGTGTGATGCAAACAACTCCCAGTTGCAGGAGGTTTGTGGCATGGCTGGGAACTCACCCAGGTCCGGAGCAGCTCCTGTGCCTGTTTGGGTAGCTGGCGCCCGTGGGCAGAGGGAGGTGTTTGCAGTGCTCCAGTGCAGAATCCTGTGGGTGAGCTCTTGCTGGGAACCAGCTGATAATATGGCCTGTGACACAGGAAAGCTTTTCCAAGCCCGCTGTGGGTCTCACTTCTCACAGTCATTTTACTTGAACTAATAAAGATTTTTGGTCTCTTTCCCAGCTTTCAAAGTAACATAAAAATTATCTTTCACTGTAAAAGCTCTAACAAGGAGAGAAATAAAGTTTGATGCTGTCTGCTGGGATTTTAATGAACTGAATCTCAAGTCCTGCTGTGACCTGCAGGGCAAGGCGGGAAGCGGTTTTGTGCTGCCTTACACCGTTTGTGTCCGTGGGTTTAAAAGGGAGGAGCAGGGCACGAAGCAGAGGAGGAGCTCTGGGGCGTGCAGGGGCTCTCTGGCAGGGTGCTGTCTGTGCCTGCCCCAGGTGCTGTACCAGGACTGCCGCATGGTGCCCGTCACCGCCCCGTACGTGGCCGGCTTCTTGGCCTTCAGGGAGGTCCCTGTCCTGGTGGAAGCTGTGCAGAGACTTCAGCAGGAGGAGCCCCAGCTCCAGCCTCAGGTGTGCTGTGCTTCCCTTGTCCCGAGCCGGGCTGACCTGGCTGCAGAGTCCTGGGGAAGGTGTTCTCCTGTGGCACGAGCATCCATTGCCTTCCCTTGGGGAGCAGGGATGTGGAGCTGGGAGCAGCCAGGCCTCCCATGGGAGCCTGTGGTGTGTGCAGGGCACTGCCAGTCCCACACTGCTGCTGCTTTAGGGTCAGGCTGGAAGAGCCTTACAGGGAGACTGAGGAACCAAGAGAGATTTCTCCTTCCCCCAGAGCCAGCATCCCTGGCTGGGAGGGAGCACTCCATCTCCTTGGAGTGCTCTCAGTGCCCTGGAAATAACATTTCTCCTTTGCTTTTTTCAGGTGCTTCTGGTAGATGGGAATGGCCTGCTCCATCCCAGAGGTAGGCTGTTCCTGAAGAGCCCTCCTCTCCTGCTCCCTGTGCTGCTCCTTGGCGTTCCTGTTCCCTGGTGTCCCGCAGCTACAGTGGCTCCTTGTTGGCAGGGTTTGGCACAGCCTGTCACCTCGGGGTCCTGACAGACCTGCCGTGCATTGGCGTGGCCAAGAACCTCCTGCACGTGGATGGCTTGGTTAGGGACGAGCTGCACAAGGAGCAGGTTAGGCCAGGCTGGGATTTGTTTCTGCTTTTTCCTATTCCAGGGGAATTGGTACAGCCACCTACGTGCTAATGAGCTGACTGTGTGTGTGTTTATCCCTAGGTCCGTTCCCTGCAGAGGTCAGGAGAGACATTCCCACTGACAGGCACCTCGGGGAAGGTCCTGGGCATGGTAAGCTGCCACTTGGCCACTTTACCCTCTCCACGGTGGGGCTGTCTCAGTGATCCCCTGCGGGAGGGCGGGTGTGAACAGGCGACCAGTGACACTGCTGGCCCCTTCCTGAGAGCTCAGGTGGCTGCAGGGAGTTGGCAGCTCAAGTGCTGGGAGCATTCCCGTCCATGGCTGTGGCTCCTGAGGTGCTCCAGCAGCCTGGATGGTGAGCTGCAGTCTGGGAGAGGTGCCAGTTCCCTGGCAGCTCCCCGGGATCGGGCTGGGAGCGGCTGATTCAGAGCAGAGCGGGAACAGGCAGCTGGGAGACACTTCCTGTGGGTGCTGTCAGCCTGGGCTGGCACAGCTCCTGCAGCCCAGAGCAGCCTCGGGCGTCTGGGGAAGGGCCACGGGGGACAGACAGTCCCTGCAGGAGACACCGGGATGGGGAAGGTGTTCAGGAAGGCTGGGAGCTGCAAACACAGAGCCACCACTCCCCCGAGGGCTCCAGCCGGCTCCTAGTTCCACTGCCCCTCTGCGTGTGTTCCAAGGAGCCTCTCCAGTGCCTGATCTCTCCTTTCTGGCTGGCCAGGTGCTGCGGAGCCACAGCAACAGCTGCAAGCCCCTGTACGTGTCCGTGGGCCACCGGGTGAGCCTGGGCACGGCCGTGCGCCTGGTCAGGGCCTGCTGCCGCTTCCGCGTCCCGGAGCCCATCCGCCAGGTACGGGGCAGGGTTTGCCAAGCCCTGGGCTGCTCCGAGCCTCAGCGTGCCCCTCCTCTGCTGGGGACACCCTCCTGCTGGGCAGTTCCCCCAGCCCTGGTGGTGCTCACTGATCCTTCCAGGGCCGTTCCCCTGACGCAGTGCCCGGCAGCGTTCCCAGCCCTGCCTGCAGACCCAGCCTGACTGATGCCCTGCTTGCTCGCTGCAGGCAGCTCCTGCCGTGCTGGTGTTAATCCCCAGGAGCTGGGAATGCAGTTTTCCCGGGTTCTTGGAGCCCAGCACAGCCCGCAGTGCTGCTCCTCTGGGCCTTTCCCGCTGCTGCACTCTGCACAGAGCCAGCAGCCAGCAGGTGACAGCACTGCATCACTGTCACCGAGCTGCAGCTGCCACCGAAGCTCAGCCTTGGCTGATTTTAAATCGCAGCAGAACTTGGGGAAAGGCTCTGGAGAAGCTCAAAGCCTCAGGGACTTCTGGTCTGGCAAGTGCTTCCCTTCTGCCTGGGGTCACTCTGCTGTTGGTGGCTCCACAGCCCAGAGCCAGGAGTGACCCCAGGGCCTGCCCGGGTGTCCCTGTCCCTAACACTGCCCTGGGACAGCCCGTTGGCATTGCTGCTGTGCCAGGCTGGTGGGGTCAGGGGTGTGCCCACCTGAGCAGCCCCGGGTGACCCTGCTGCTCCAGAGCTGCAGTGTTCCTTGGAACTGAGATTCTGCTTATGAACTACTCCAAAATCTTAACTCCTTGGAGCAAAGCAAGCCCTGGGGTGTCCAGAGCAGAGCTGCAGTTCCCAATCTCAGCCCCAGTACCTGCCAGACTGGAGGAGGCTGCCTGAGCTCCTTATGTAACCTGCTCCAGCCAGGGCCAGATGCCTCTGCAGAGCTCCGAGCCAGCTCTGCAGTCTGCGTGTTCACAGGGAAGGGAGAAGCATTCCCTTTGGAAACAGAAAGGTGTCTTGGAGCTTTTCATCACCCTCATTTCACTTCCAGCCATCTCCAGGATTTGCTCATGTTCAGAGACTCTTCCAGTTCCCTGTGACCTTTTTCTTGGAGTGATGGAATGAATTATTATCACTTTTCCTACAGAGAGATGAAAACTCCGACAGGGGAGCATGTTTACTCTAGAGAGATGGCAGGAGCTGAGGACACTTAAACCTTTCCATGGGCCCTGTCCCCGCTGTTCTTGCTCTGTGTGGTGACTGCCACAGCTCTTGGCACAGGCAGAGCTGAAAGCCTCAGCTCCTGAGCACCTGCAGCTGCAGTTAGGAAGTAGGAGGCTGTGGAGAATCCTGCCATGGATGACTGACGTGGCCTTTTTGCCATGGTGTGTCTCCAGAAACTGCAGACCTGATAGAAGTGCTCACAGATTTCCCAGTGTCAGGAAAGACCTGTGGATCACCAGGTCCTGGTCTGGAAGTTGTGGCAGGCCTGGAAATGAAGTGGTCTGTGAGAGCTCAGCTGCCACAGCTCCTGAGGATTGTGTGAGGGCAGCATGTGCAGTGCAGCTGCTGTGGGAGCTCAGGCCTCCTGTTTAGGGGATGTGGTGCTTCCCAGGAATGCACGTTATCCAGGCAGGGTGCAGGAGGGGCTCCATTTGCATTCAGCCCATGGTGTGGTTGTGCTGCCAAGGAGCTGGCTGTGGTGCAGATGAGAGAAGTGAGATCTCGGAGGAAGCAGGGGGATGAGCTGCCCTTGTCACCTGCAATCAGTATTTACATCCCACTCTGTCCTTGTTCCACGTGCCAGGCCAGGCCCAGCCAGGAGAGCTGTGCTCCCTGTGAGATCCTGCACGGAGCTCCCAGGCAGGAGCTGCCATCCCAGAACAAGCAGCACAGCACTCACCCTGAATGGCCCTGGAACAGTCCCAGGCCCTGCTGAGAGAGCTGCCCTTGCTCCTGGCAGAGGTCAGAGCCCTCCCTGGTGCTTGCCCACACTGCTGCCTGCTCATTCCCAGATCCCTGTGCCCAGCAGGGAAGCACAAGCTGGTGCCACTCTCCAGCTGCCAGGGATTGCACCAGGAACCTGCTCTGCTCTCTCTGGGTCACGTTCCTGCTTGGCTGCTGCCCAGCCTCCTGCTCACTTGGTGCTTCCTTCAGCTGCCCCTGGGTGCCCAGCAGGTTGGGGCTGCCCCTGGAGGGGCTGCTGGGACAGCCTGAGGGTGCTCCAGCCCACCAGGAAGGGCAGGCCTGCAGGGCACCCTCTGTGAAACGCTGACCACTTGCCCTCAGAAGAATGAGAGAAGGCATCAGCCTCTCCTCTGGGGCTGGACAGCAGTCACTGGTGTCCTGAGACTCCAGCTGCCTTTGGGGACATCCCCTCCAGGCCTGCTGTGCCCAGGGAGCACCCTGGCCCCTCAGGTAACAGGCAAAGCAACATTTCCACAGCCCTCTGAAAATAGCCCAGAAAATAGCCCAAATCTGTGAGGATTATTGCTGGACAGTGATCCATCTTATTGATTAGCCTGTGTTAATCACCACCTTAAGCTGACTCCAGTGCTGTGTTAGGAGTGAGCCCTGCCTGGGAGCTGCCACCTCATCAAGCACTAGCTGATGTTCTCAGCAGAATGTGGTTGGGGTTTTTCTTCCCTAGAATTGTTGGTATCTGTTGCCTCCTGCTCCTTGCTCTGCCCATGGGGACTATTGAGCAGCCTCCTCCCCTGGTTATAAAATCCATCACGTAATCGCTTATCCTGAAGAGTGATCAAAGTTATTTGTCAGTTTGGTTATGAAACTGTCCAATTATAGAGAGAAGGGAAAAAAAATCTCCCAAACAAACCACCCCTTATGTAACTCTCTCCTTCTCAGCTGGCAGGAGGCTCTGCAGTTGTGGAGCAGGTTCCAGCAGCAGGCACAGCCTCCACCAGGGGCTGGGGGTGAGGGGCCTGGGGGCTGCCAGGGCTGCAGGAGAGGCTCCTGGGGAGCAGCACGGGGTGGAGAGCAGCAGTGCTTCAAGGACAGTCCCCAGGGGTGTGTTAACCCAATTTCTGAGCTCATCACCAGACACTGTGAAGCTTTTCCAGCTGGGAAGGTCACATCCTGCTTTGTTGGTGGGGAGAGACACTGCCTTTGAGGTGGGCACAGCAGCTGCTCGGAAATGGCACAGAACTTTCTAAAAGAGAAGAAACTTTGAAGGACTGTAAAAATCAACTGCCAGTCCTCAAAGTTGGCCAAGAGCTCGGGGTGTGCTTGTGATGACATCAAGGGTCTGCTGCTGGTGTCGTGCAGCACTAGAGGGCTGAGCAAACACTTCAGGGTCGGGGCAGGAACACCCAGTAAGTGCCCAGCAACACTTCCTAACAGTTCCTGGGACATGGCTGGTGCTCTCCTTGCCCCAGGCTGTCGTGCCTTGCTGAGCCATCCAGTGTTCCTGGTGGGATGTGCTGGCAGCAGGGTGGGTGGGCACTCTGGGATAACAGGGGAGGCACCAGCCAGGCTGCTCAGCCCTTGCTCACTCCTCTCCCTGCTTGCTTCCAGGCTGACATCAGGTCCAGGGAGTACCTTCGGAAGCAGCCCTGTGCTCCAGTGGAGGTGCTGGAGGCTGTGCCTGCCAGCCCAGAGAGGTGGGTGTGTGGGCAAAGGGCATCTGCTGGTGGCATGAGCTGCAGTAATGGCATTAAAGGTACAGGCAGGGTAACAAGGTGAGCTCAGTGGGGAGCTCGGGACATGTGCAGCCTCCAGAAGGTGATTTCTGCTCCCTGTGGCCACGCTGCCTCACACGGTGCTGCCGGCAGCGCCGTGTCCTGAGCTGGGCAAGGGCAGTGGGGATTTGCTCTTTTTTCAGCACTGCTCATAAGCAAAGCCCTAACGCCCACAGGTGTGACCTGAGGAGGAACAGAAATACCTGCAGGGAGCTGGTTTTGGCCCCAGGTGTTGGGGAGGGTCAGAGTCCCCCTCTCTTACATAAGGTGGGCCAGTGGGTGTCAGTTCAGGGCTAAATCTGCCCCTGGAGTGCAGCTCAAGCTCACCAAGTGCCAGTTGTTTGTGCCTGTTGGCTTCTACTTTTTGTAAAACTTGTTCCTACTTTGTCATTTTTATCCCTGCAGCAAAAAGGAGGATGAATTGGAGGATTAGTCTGTGCCAGAAGAAAGTGCAGAGCTTCTCTTCGCTGGGTTCTCTCCTGCACCAAGGCTGAGTCCTGCTGGATGCAGGAGCCCAGTGCCACCCTGGGGGACAGCTGTGCCAGGCTGTGTCCCCCAGGCCAGCACCAGCCACTGCTCAGGGAGAATCCATGCAGTGAATTTCTCAGGGTTCATTTTCAAGTACTGTTAAAACCTTTGTGTGAGCAAAGGCTCACGTGTGAGTGTGCAACACCTCACTGGAGCCCTTGTGCAGCTGCAGGGGCTGATTTACAGAGGTGCTGAGGCATTGCCACTGCAGAGCCAGCCTGTGTCTCCCACCACACCTCTGTGGCACAGAGCCCTCCCTTCCCACTGGTTTTGGAGCAGCTTCCCCCTGTCCCTGCAGCTGTGCCATTCCCCCTGCACGTCCCTGGGGAGCAGCAGCCCCACTGCCCAGCTCTTCTGGAGGAAGGAACATCTCAGGGGAAAGGATGGCAGGAATCATCTCCCTCCCAGGAGCATGGGGAGGTCATTCCTGACACACAGAGTGCTCCAGGATCCCAGGCTGGAGATCTGGCCCAGCCCCAGCTTGGCCTGAGGAGCAGAGCCCAGAGCCTCTGTGCCCAAATCATCCTCAACCCTCATCCAGTCTGCAAGACCAAAGCTTCTCCAAGGTGTGGGATCCTGGCTGAGGTTGGGAGGTGCTTCCTGACTGTTCTGAAGAGCAGCAGGAGCAGAAGGTGCTCTGGAAGATCCTGGTGTGGCTGTGTAAGATTCCAGCCTGAAGAGGAAGAAGGATGTTTTCCTGGGGGTGGGGAGGGGTGCTCAGGTCAGGCTCCTGTGGGCTGTTTAACCTCAATTTTGCATACATTTCTTGTACAACTTTTGTTCTTTTCTGTCTTGGAGCTGCTCTGGGTGGGGAGGACAAAGCCCAGCCTGTTGTGCGTCTGCTGTCTTGGGGTCTGAACCAGGTGGGGAAAGGGAGGCAGTGACAAACCCTGCTCCCCTGGGGCCATCTGGGCAGGTCTGGGGCTGGTCCTGGCAGCACTGGGGACGGGCACTGGCAGAGCACTTCCCTAAAAAGCCTTTGCTGACAGGTTTTAGAAGCCAAAGCTGCAGCAGCTGCAGCTCCCAGCCCTACACAGGAGCCACCTCTCCCGGGAACCTTCAGAGCTGCTTCACATGAAGGTTTGTCTGTGGGTGGAAAACCACAAGGAAGCTGCTCCTTTGATCCTGAGGGCTGCTGCCAGCCCGGGGCAGGGGGAGCACTGGGGCTGGCTGTGGCAGGGGACAGGGGACACAGGGACAGCTGTGTCCTCCTCTCCCTGCACAGCCACAGAACCTCCTCTGCCACGGCCTGTCCCATCCTGAGGGAGCAGGGTGGGCACAGAGCCACGGCCAGAGGGACCAGTTCATTCCTCATTCCAGCCCCACACAAACCAGTGACTTCTCTGGCCATGGGGACAGTCTCCTAAAGCCTGTCACAAATTCAGGCATGGGTGACAGAGTGGGCAGGGGACAGCTCCTTCCTAGAGCTCAAGGGCAGAACACCAGGGAAATGCATCTGGGCTTCTGATTTAGCCTGTGTGGGAGCTCACAGGGTCATCCCTGGCTGCTTCCAAGTTCTGGGTGACACCACTCCCACTGCAGATCCCCCCTGGGTGTGCTCAGCTGTGGGAGCAGCTCCTCCAGGATGGCCCTGCAGAACCTTCAGTGTGGGGACTGGCTTCTCCTGCCCTGCTGAGTGCCTGGTTTCATCTCATTTTTAACGTCTCTGGTTTTAATCCCTCATATATTGGTGACTTTTTTGTGCTTCTGATTGGTACCTGACAATGGGAGATTTGGGGTGGGCTGGTCAGGGGAGGCTCTGCAGCCACAGCTGTGATTTGGGTGGGAGCTCAAGGAACTGAGCCCAGCTCGGACAGGAACGTGAGGCTGTGGCTGCTCAGGGTCTGTCCCTGGGTGCTCCTGCTGGGATCTGGGTGTTTTGATCCATGGAGGGTCCGTGTGCTCAGCCTGTGAGGGATCCAGGGCTGGGGACACTGCAGGGGACACTGCTGTCCTCAGCTGCCCTGAGCCCTCGCAGCTGCCTCTGCCCTGGGGGTGAGGGGAAATCAGGTGAAAAAAAAAAGGCAAAAAACCATAAAAACCAGCTCTGCATCAGTGTCCTGGCTTCCCTCTGCGTGAGGCTCTGAACTCCTCTCCTTCCCAGCCCAGGTGAACTCAGCTGACTCTGGGTGGAGTCGCGTGGGAGGCTTTGGGAGGGGGATGGTGCTGCAGGGTCCTGGCAGCCCTGCAGAGCCAGGGGCTCTGGCTGTGCCTTTGGGCTTTGCCTGGGCCCTGGGATGCTCTCCCAGCTGCCCAAACGTGGCAGTTTAGTCCTTCCTAAAGGAAGGGACTAATCTCTGTGTTTGGTGCCTGCTTGTGGCTCTTTGGACACAATAAGGGATTAACTTGGTCTTTATCTAATTGGTTTATAACCCTGGGAAGGGAAAATCGCTTTGTAATGCTTGAAACCTCTTAACAGAAGCTCAGAGAGTGGAGCTTGAGTGTCCTTCGAAATAAACTCATACATGGCTTGTCTTTTTTAACTCCCTGTTTGCTGGAAATTGGCTTTTCTGGGTGTTGGGAATCAGAGAATGTCTGTTGCTGACTGGTTGTAAATCCTCCTGTTATCACCAGGGGGGTTTTCTCTCCACCATTTCCACCTGGGACTGGCTGGGAGTCTCTGGAGGTGTCTCAGGGCTTGGTGACCCCCCTGTGCTGCTGGGGAATGAGCTGTGGGGCTGGGGCAGGGATGTGGCTGCCCAGTGAGGCCTCCTGGGTGACAAACCGGGGCAGAATTGCTTTGGGGTTGGTTTCCTGACTCCCAGGTGCTGAATGGCTCTGCTGCAGCTTCTCTGGGTCTGCTCTCCCTGTTGTGTTTGGATGCCTGGAGAGCAGGAAGGAGGATCCCTGCCCTGCCGTGTTTGTCTGGGAGAGGGGAGAGGAGCTGCTCTGGGATGCAGGGCTGTTTGTCCGTGGGCTCTCAGGAGGTCTGGGTGAGCAGCTCCGTGCCAGGTGCTGAGGCTGGGTGGGATGGCATCCCACCTCCGTGTCTGCAGCTTGTGGCAGTGTAGGTGCTGCCTGTGCAGTCTGAGCTCCTGTGACTCAGGGTTTGTATTTTGGGCCACTCCTGCCGAGGGTGGGGGAAGTGTTTCGCTGGGATTTCCCCCCTCCCTGCCCCCCGTTCTCATTCCTCTTCCCCTTGCCTTGGTTGGGCAGGTTTAGGAGGGGCTGTTTCCCTCCTGGCTGCCCAAAGCAGGCCCAGCTGCAGGTCTGGGTGCTCAGCTGGGTGTGGGGCTGGGCCCAGCAGCTGAGCCCCTTCCTCGCCCATTCCCAGAGCCTTTGGTGTTCGTGGGACAGCTGTGTCCCCTGGATCTCAGAGCATTGCCCAGCTTTGGGCTGGAAATGGACGATTTTGGTGCGGCTCCCCCCTCCTGTGGCAGCTGAGGCCTCTTGGATGTGGTGGCTCCTGGACAGAGCCCGGGTGTGCAGAGGGAGCTGGGGAACATCATGGCTCCCTTGCAGGGCTTTTGATTCCTTTTTTTGTCCTTTTGTACTTTTTATTTTTCCCCTTCCTTTTGTCCTATAAATAGTTCTCCCCCCTAACTGCTCTTCCCGTTGTTGGTGTTGGTTGATCCTCCCTGATCCTCTCACCAGAGCCCCACCAGCCCCCCCAGCTTTATTTTAAGGCCCCATTAATTAAAAGCAAATGAGTGGAATTTCTCTTGACAAGCAAATTAATAGCAAATGAGATGATTATGAGCTGTGTCATTAGGGTGATGGAGCAGCTTGTGCAGGGCTCAGCCCAAAGCAAGGCAGCAAAGCCCTGGGGCAACAGCTCTCTCCTGTTGGGGGGCTGGAAGGTGCTCCCTTCCCCTCTGGGGCTGCTGGGTGGAATTTTGGTAGCCAAGGAGTCATTGATGCTGAGCAGAGCCGGGCTGAAGGAGGAGGAGGAGGGGGCAGAGCAGAGGTGCAGGGGGTGGCTGCTCGTGGATGCTCTGGGTGTCCCCATGGGCTGGGTCTGTCCGTGGGGACACGCTGGGAGTGCCTTGTCCCCACCCCGGCAGCGCCATCAGCTTTAAAAACACGACCCAAGGCTATGGAAGCAGCCCGTGGTTAATTCCTGGGCTGGTTCCCACCTCGGGGGCTCGGTGCAGGATGTTTCCTTAGGAACACGCTTTTTCCTGCTTTTCTTGGAGCGCCTGCTTGGCACGCCATGCCTGTGCCTGCAGAGCCCAGCTGGTCAGCGCTCGCCCGGAGCCCAGCCAGGCGGGGCTCGGTTCTGGGGCTGGGCTGGGGAGCAGGGCTCGGTTCTGGGGCTGGGCTGGGCTGGGGAGCAGGGCTCGGTTCTGGGGCTGGGCTGGGGAGCAGGGCTCGGTTCTGGGGCTGGGCTGGGCTGTGGAAGCAGGGCTCGGTTCTGGGGCAGGGCTGGGGAACCAGGGCTCGGTTCTGGGGCCGGGCTGGGGAAGCAGGGCTCGGTTCTGGGGCCGGGCTGGGCTGGGCTGGGAAACCAGGGCTCGGTTCTGGGGCTGGGCTGGAGCTGGGACTCGGTTCCGGGGCTGTGCTGGGGAACCAGGGCTCGGTTCTGGGCTGGGCTGTGGAAGCAGGGCTCGGTTCTGGGGCCGGGCTGGGGAAGCAGGGCTCGGTTCTGGGGCTGGGCTGGGCTGTGGAAGCAGGGCTCGGTTTTAGGGCCGGGCTGTGGAAGCAGGGCTCGGTTCGTGGGGCTGCGCTCCCGCGTGGGAGGCTCCGCCGGCGGCTCCCGGCTCCTGTTGTGACTGGAGCCGCGTGTCTGGCGAGGGAACAGCTCCTGCCTGCGCCGAGGAGGAGGAGGAGGCGATCAGCCGGGCCGGCGATGGAGGGACAGCCTGCGGGAAGGGAGGAGAGGTGGTGCCAGAGCCGCTCTGCCCCCGTGCATCACTTCAGGGACAAATATCCGCTGTTTTCCCGAGGAGCAGCGCTGCCTGCTCTAAAATCCCCAGCGATTCTTGGGAGAGTGTTTGGAGTCTGTGATAAATCTGGTGGCTTTGTAACTTGCCGGAGGGATGGTGGGCAGCACCGTGATTAAAGCGCTCTGATTAACACACAAACCTTGTTTGTAATGAGTGGGATTGGGAGGGTGTGGAAATCCAGCTGGCGTGTAATGAGGTTACTCCAACAAATTGCTCGGATATCAATTACCCCGCTAGGTAAATGTCACCTGCCTTCTCTTCGTTTGCGGTAAACTGGGATCCAATTAGTTTGATGTGGCTCTTGCTCGTGCCTGAACTGCCGAGGCAGGGCAGGACAGCAGCCGGGCTCTGCCCCACCCGTGGGGCATCATCAGGGCTGGGGACATCCCAGTCCCTTGGGGACATCCCAGTCCCTTGGGGACAACATCCCAGCCCCTCCTGGCGCCCCCTCTGAGCCGAGTCCCCCTCCAGAGGCTGAGGCCCCCGGTCAGGCAGGTCTCAGGTGTGTTCCCCGCGGCCGCCCCGAGCCTCCCCACGCCTCCGACTGCAGGTGGATAAATCCCATTTGGCTGCAGCAGGCTCCTTTCCCCGTCCTGCTGCGAGGGGAGGCAGCCGGAGCTGCTCCCGGAGCGCGGCTGGAAAGGGCAGCAGGAGCGGGCCCTGGGTGTGGGGAGGGCGAGGTGAGCGGGGCTGGGGGTCCCGGGCAGGCCGGGAGCGCCGTGACCCCCGGCCCGGGGCTCCTCTGCCGGCCCTTGTACGCAGCTCATGGGTATTAATGGCCCAACACGCGGGGCCTGGGGAGGGAGCAGCAGGGAGCCGAAAGCGTGGAGCACAGCCCATCCCAAACCCAGCGCCGGCGCCTGAAACCCCCGGTCCCCGGGCACGGGAGGCTCTGGGGGGCTGGAGAGGTGTGAGCAGGGGGTGGGCACCGTCACTGGGGGCACCTGGGGTCCTGCTCCGCTTTCCAGAGGGAACGAATCAGCGCCGCCGCGTCCCTGCGGGGCTGTCCCGCCCCAGCGGGTGTTGGGGGGCAGGTTCCAGGTGTGGGGTGCTCGGGATGCTGCCATTCCCGGCTTCCCCGAGCGCTGACCCTGCAGCGCACGGGAGCCCTGCCCACCCCTCCCGGGCAGGAGGGGATTTGTGGGCCGCTCCAGACCTCTCCATCCCTCCTGCCCCGGCTGCCGCCGGCCCGGGGGTGGCCGCTGGAGCGGGGCTGCCCTGTGCCACCTCGCCCCGCAGCCTCGGCAGGAGCAGCAAGGCTCCAAAGGGCCGCAGGCGATCGCTGACCTGATTTCCAGCAGCGCTGCGGGGTTTGGCATCTGTTGCTGACACGGAGGGAAGTGGGGGCCTGGGGACCCCCCAAGTGTGCTGCCCCGGCACCCCCAGTCCTGGGGAGAGCCGGGGGAGCACAGGTGGGCTCTGACCCCGCTGCACCACTCACTCCTCCCCGTGTGCCCCCTCCCGTGCCCACTCTGCTCCACAAATGCTAATTAATCACCATAATTAGTTTGATGCTGCATCTATTTTTAATCAGCTTTGGAAGACAGAGTCTGCCTCTGCTCCGTGCACACCCACGGGCTGTCCCAGGGCGGAGCGGGGCTTACTGGGGCCCCTCCCGTGGGACATGGGGTGTTATTCCCCCCTGTGCCCCCGGGAGGGGGTCGGGACCCCTCATGGGACCCCCAGCCAGAGGAGGATCCGCGCAGAGCTCCTGGGTGGAGTCCGATCCCAGCCCCTCCATAATCCGCCGGGATGAATAGGAAGGATGGAGGCAGCAGCTGCCAAGGTGGCGTTTGACAGCAGCTGGGAAAGTCGCAGGAGGAGGAGCCCGGGAAAAGCTGTGAAAAGATTCTGAGAAGGCAAAACCGGGGGGCAGGCCCGTGTTCCTGCAGCTGCCAGCCCCCGTGGCGGAGGGATGGGGTCTCCTGCGCTGGGAGCTGCCCGCAGGCAGCCCGGCCGGGGGAGCAGCGCCGCGGGCTGCGAAAAGCGGTGTTTGCCCTGGAACTGCGGGCTCCGTGCGGCCCCGGCCGGCTCTGGTTGTGTTCTCCGGAGGGACGGAGAGCTCGAGGAAGCCCCTGCCAGGCTGTGCTGGCCAGGATGCCCGGGCAGTGCCTCGGGGTGTAGGAACCGGTGCTGTGCCAGCAAAGGCTCCCGAGTGGCATTTGAGGGCCGCTGTGGCGGCCAGTGACTCACGCCTGTGACCGGAACGGTCTGTCGGCCTTGACTCCGTGCCCGGGGAGGTGTCCAGTGCCCGCGGTGCCCCGGCCGGTCCCTGGGCTCGGCCCTGGCAGGGCTCGGCCCTGCTCCCCCCGCCCTCCCACGCAGGGATCCATCCCATGCTCATCCTCCCCGGGCCGGGATGTCCCCAGCCCTGCCTGCAGTGTTTGGCCGCCCATCTCCCTGCTCTCCTCCTCCTCCTCCTCCCGTGCCAGCCTGAGGGTGGCTCCTGGGAGCCACCCGGTGTCCCTGGGGAGCCTCGGGTGGTCTCTGGCAGCGGGACCCTCCCCGTGCTGCCCAGAGCCGGCTGAGCCCCTCGGGAGCTGCTGCTCCCGGTGCTGGGGAGGAGAGGGTGTCCGACCCCCTCGGCTCCTCTGGGG